GTGGTTCATCTAGCGTACCTAGATGAGATGCACAATGCAGATGTATGAATGCAAAGAATGGCAACATGAGATACATCATATAAAAGCATTCAAGACAAGCACAAGGTTACACGAGAAGGCATAGGCACCTATGCTTATTTAACTAAACATCACACAATCTATTATCGAGAGATAGTAAGCACATCAAGCATGGCACATAAGTCAACTTAAGTTTCAGCCATTGCAAGCATTCATCATCAAGAATTAACCAAACATGTTTAACCAAAACAAGAGCAAGTTATAGCAATCACTTAAGCACATAAGCTGGAAAACACTCAATTTGGACATTCCTAGCATGAGATATTGATTTTACAAGTTTAGCACATAAGCTAAAAACATTAAAATGAAAAACAACTAAACCCTAGAAACTGCTACGCGCACACAGCTCAGTGCACCCCTAGGGCTGACGGCTGGGGCCTATGGTCAAGCTAACCCCACATGTCACAGGCATAGAGGCAGGGGCGATGCTTTGACCGGTCGTAGCTCGCCGATGGTGAACTTTCCGGCGACGGGACTAGCACCATTAGACTCCTCTCATCGAGACGCATCTATCAGGATATGTTAGCAAATGATTTTTCAACATCTACGCGCATGATGATGGAAGGAGCGGGCGATGGCGGTGGAACACACGCACGGTGACTACGAGCTCGACGTTCTTGGCCTTTACCTGCGAAGTCCGACGACGCTGCTAGGTCGGCGAGGTGGAGGAGGCCATGGTGGTGCTATGGGTGGAAGGAAAAGGATGGAGGCGCTATGGTGATGATGGATTTTGCGACGACGGTGGCACTACTCCCTACTATCGCCTGTGCTTGGCCGAGAAGAGGGAACTGGCGAGGGAGAAGCAGCGAGCGAGAGAGGGAGGGCGGTGATGTAGCGGCTCGGCCTTCAATTTTCCCTCGTGAATGCACACACGTGGGAAGTGCCGACGCGACGAGAGCGCCATGCAGCGTCGAATTTCCTGTGGCCAGTCAGCCACGGCATCCTTCTCTGCTGATTCAAAAACTGTTAAGGAGCTGACCAATACCACCTAAAAATATGACCAAAACTCTATTTTCTCCCTCTTCCAACTCCTAAACCAGTTAGTGATTTGTTCAACCAATTGTACCATGTGATAGAGCTACACGAGTATAACAACTTTGTTTGAAGATGTTTGGTCAGAATCGAACTAGTTTGCAAGATATGGATCTCCAAAGGTGTCTACCTCAAAACTAAAAATTCAGTTTCAGTCCATTGAGGACTTGGCCAAATTTCGAGCTCTAGAAACAGCACTGCATTCACTTTTGGAGGCTCTGTTAGACTAAGTTAGAAACCAAACTAACTCTTAACCCTTAAACAAAGTTTTCTCTACTCAAGCAGAACTGCAACTTTTATTTAAGGTCCAACTCCATACGAGCACTCTAAGCAATAGGTCAACACAGGTCAAAACAACATCTTGAAAAAGGCATTTTTAGCCACTCACACACATAGAAGCAATTTCATATTAAATCATGAATATAAACATGATTTCATTTTTCATCTTAAGTGTGTCTGGGTTGGTTTAGGGACTAAACAACAATCACTTGCATTAACAAGCATGATCATCAAGCATACATATGGCTAACCTAAGCATTTTATGGAAATAAACATAACAACAAAATGCATCACCACATGCTCATGATTATGAATGGATGGATGATGCTTATGCTCATGCAATGCAAGTGTGATATGCAAGCTTAACACCTAGGGTGTTACAACTGTCTTGACTGAGTAAATGATGATGTAGGAGTGTAATATTGAGCACATGGTTGCATACTTTAGCAAGTTTATTATGTCCCCCTTTATAGTATGATATTTCTATACTCAAATTTGAAATAAGAAAGAATTTAAACCTCCTTTGAGTTTCAAGCCATCATCATTTGTAATTGGGGACTCCTCCATTTCGTAAAACATCCTCAATTCTAGATTCCCTGTTTGTCATCTCGATAAATCTCATTAGTCCTCTAATTACGTGGTCATTATCACCAAAACCCATAATTAGGGCTTGATTGCACTTTCAGTTGCAGGTTAAACTTCTTAAACTTTAATCATTTTTTTCTAAAAAGGTATATTAACATCTATAAGAACAAATAATTGAACTATCAAAGTAGATCCCATACACCATCTAATTAAACTAATCTAACATTGTATGTTGGTGCATTTCTTTATAAACTTAATTAGTCAAAAATAGATATGTTTGACTTAGTACAAAGCCCAACTGAGCCATGATTTAGAATGAACAGTAGTAAAATAAATCTTGTCGAAAGAGTTATGTTAACAAATAAATCATTTGAGTTGAAAATATAGAAAAATCAATTGTTAGTTCAAAAGGGCTATGTTAGTGTCGGTGTTTTGTCGACCGACTAGTGAATTTATACAAATATTGTGCTGCTCCAGGAAGACGATGATAGCATCCAAAAGATACAAGGATTTATATTGGCTCAGGCCGAAGCCCTACATCTAGTCTCAGAGATGACCGAGTGCGTGTTCCTCGCTTGAATGCTCTGAAGTTCTTACAATGGGGGGTGCAAGAATGGTGGAAGAGGTAGGAGAGCTAGAGCTAGCAGATGTACTGCCCGAATGAGAGCTTCGAGAGTCCGATGCCTTAGAAGGGTGCCCTGGCTGCCCTTATATAGAGTCTGGGGTCAGGACACATACAAAGGAGGTTCTCCTGACTGAGAGGTCGTGAGCCTGAGGGAGGAGGCCTAGCTAACTTGGCTTGCAAGAAACGCCATCTTGTCTTGATGTAGCGCACGTCCGGGCATGGACGTCGTCATGGTCTTGTGCCCACATCGCGGCATGGTGTGGTGTGGTGTTACTGTGCCGGTTGTGGCGACACTATAGGCACGGTGATGGTTCGCTAGTCGTCCTCGCGACATGGTCTCGCCGTGGCCTTTGTCATCGCCTCCTGATCTCCTAGGTCGTTGGTCGTCTTGTTGCTTGCGAAGCTGGTGGCCACGATCTTGAGCTCCGAGGTCGTGGCCTTTGTTGGCTTGGATGGCCCCAAAAGTCAAGGCTGCCGTCGTGGTCCCCATCCTGTAGTGGGTAGGGTCGTACATCTGTCTCGTCGGGCTATATTTGGACGGTGGATCTCTATATTGGATGTCACCGCTCAGCGATGTTGTCTTGTCTATGCTGCATGGCGCAGGGATAGCATCTGATCGGGCTGAGGGGATTGATGTCCTCTTGGTCCTTGCGGGGTCAGTGCGGCGTGCCTTCTCTTGTTAGAGCAGGCGTGCTTGGCGGGGCTCGATCTCTCCCCGTTCCCCCAGGGACCAGGACGGAGGAGAGGTCGTGAGGAGTTGCGCGGCGTGTGGTGAAGGTAGAGGGAAGAGGTCGTGGCCAACCCCTGCCTCAGTTCTTGGCCTAGGTCCACATGGCCTAGCTGGGCCTTTGCCGTTCGGGCTTATACCAGCTCATGTACCGTGGGCCGCACGAGCGGCTGACTAATCGGTGTCTTGAGATACCCGGGGTATCATGACCCCGACAATGAGGAACACATTGAGTTATGTTTAAGTTTTAACACAAAGAGCCACTCGTTAAGGTAAATCATCATTTCACTTTCATATTCTCTTATAGCTCTATATTCTTCATAAAGCAATAATAGGCATTACTTCTATATTCCTGCAACATGATGAAAATAGGCAAACTAGACCATCCTAGAAAAACTAGGTGACACTATGAAAAATAGGCACCCGATTTTTTTTATTTATTTATGCGACGACACCCGAATTTATTTCTATGAGGATTTGTAAAGCGAGCTAGATATAAATGCATACCATCGACAGATTAGCTCTTTTGGGTAAAGACCTAGCGCGTCCTCTTCCACCTCATAGTATAACGACACGTTGTTTTTTTTAAAGGTGAAACAATCTCCTCTCAGTTGCTCGTGAGCCTCTAACTCATGCACATCAGGAAATCAAAGGACCAACTGTAAAACCATTGCACGTAAGATATCAAGAGTCAATAATCAAAACCATAACTTGTAAGCGCTTCGATGACTTCTGTCGTGTATATGTATAATACCTTCGGTATACGTTCTTTGTGCTGTGACTTGTGTCCTTATGTTTTATTACCATGGTAAATTCTAACTGTAAGGTTGATTTTGCAATATTATTTCTTTCCAAATTAATTCTATATGTATTGGACTCATTATTTAGTCTTTCATTACGTACAAGTGGCAGAGCCAAAATCTTTTATCGGGGTCAGCTGACCCTGTGATTTCTCAAAAAGTCAATAGACCCTGACTATGAATTGTTGTTGGAGAGATAACTCTAATCATACGCTTGTCTAGTTCCACCCCAGTCATGTACTTTGACGGATGAAGACCATAATAACAGTTTAGGTCTCGGATGAACGCAATAGATTAGGGCGTATGAGAATGAATAGGGTTACTGTTTTTAAGAAGGAACTCTATTTATAGCAACACAATAACATTTTCTATCTAAGTTTACTTTTTCTTACTCTATATATGAAGATCGAATGAATAGGGTTACTGTTTTTAAGAAGGAACTCTATTTATAGCAACACAATAACATTTTCTATCTAAGTTTACTGTTTCTTACTCTATATATGAAGATCAAATTACTATTCTTTGTAATTTTCAATTTAGATATATTTACTAATTTACCACATTCCGACTATACTTTTTTTGGGGTTAAATCTAGATCATATAAATGATCAACAGTTCATAGGGGAAAGTGGTGGTGAAAAAAATGTATGGAGATAGGTTAAAAACGCGCCAGGTAGGGGTCGAACCTACGGCCTTCTGCTTAGGAAACAGACGCTCTATCCACTGAGCTACAGGCGCTTGGTGTTTGAGATGCAAATTATTTTCTCCAATTAGTAGAGGAATAGACATTGTCAGATCTAAAGAGGAGTCAAGAATCCGTGCGAACGGCGGCGGCTAATCAAGAATCGACCGAGAACAACTCAATCCGCTGGCCATGGCGCTGCTGATGGAGCCCGGCGCTGAGCCCCTGACTGAGAGCGAGCAGGCCGACCTGGCCGGCATTGCCGCCATCAAGGAGTCGGCGGCGCGCGAATTCAAGGAGCAGGGGAACCAGTTCGTCCGGATGGGCCGGAAGCACTACGCCGAGGCGGTCTCCTGCTACACGAAGGCCATCGCCCAGATGGAGCCCCTCTCCTCCCTCGACGCATCTGCCGCCGCTGACGCCTCCGTTCTCTTCGCCAACCGAGCACACGTCAACCTCCTTCTCGGCAACCACCGACGGGCCCTCGACGACGCCGAGCAGGCCATCCGCCTCTCTCCCTCCAGCGTCAAGGTAACCGCTCCTTCTTGTTTAGTACGTTTTGGATCCGGTGGAGGAGCTGGCGCGTGATGTGAGATGTTCTTGTAGCTAGGCGTACTACCGGGCAGTGAAGGCGGCGCTTGCGCTCGACTTGTTGACGGACGCGGCATCCTTCTGCCGGAAGGGGCTCAAACAGGACCCCGCTAATGAGGAATTCAAGAAACTGTTGTCGGAAGTGGACGCAAAACTGAGAGAGCAAGACCGTCAGAGAGCCAAGGTTGCAAAAGCAATCGCCAAAGCCAAGGTCTCATTTTGCACAACAATTGACACTGCTATACTAATATTGGAATTCAAATATGTGGAGTTGACCAGGGCTATTGAGTGTACGTAGGATCTTGCTGCTGCTATGGAGAAGAGAGGGGTGAAGCTTGGGAAGGCAGCCTATCAAGAACTGACAGGGATAAAGAAGCCAAAGCTGGATGAGCAGGGCGTGCTCCACTGGCCTGTTCTTCTGCTCTACCCAGAGGTCATGTCGAGTGACTTCATTGAGGATTTTCCAGATACGGATACTTTCTCGCCCCACCTTGATGTCATATCCTTCTGAACCACATGATGCTTTCTTTGGTTGAGTTCAAATGTGTAGTGTAGATGTATAAGTAGCTTTACTGAATTTATGGTAATGGTATCCTTAACTATCAAACATGTTCTCAGAAAGTTCACCATTGCCATGGGATGAGAACCATGCTTACACAAGGGACTCAGTCGAATTGTATTATCAGGTTTGTGTGGATGAATTTAATTTTGATCGAGAGTAAACCCCTTCTTCCTGCTAAGCATTATGATTGCAGTTTTGTTAAGAAAAAAAGCACCGTGTGATATAGCCTCTTCATTGAACATTATAACAAAATTTGACGCTTCATTTTGTGTATGAATAATTGTTGATCCTTTTGTTCTTTTGGATGTCGGAAAATTCCGTTGAGGTTAGGTGAACCATAGGTGACTCTGGCAGGGGAGTCATCAGATAACCATAACATGTTGTACTGAACTCACTACACCTGCAGTTGTCCTGTAATTAGGAAATAGTCACAGGACATAGATTAAGAACGAACATAGTTTAATCCATGATTATGATATAATTGAAGGATTAGTATTGTGATATTGTCTATACTCAAATTATTGTCATCGGTTGTATTTCATTGCTGTTAGTGCCTATTGGTGATACCCTAAAAAATGGAAACCATGGCATCACATTACCCTTTATTGCTTTGAAATTAAAACATCTGATGATAAATGAAGAGATGTCGACAAATTCAGGTTTCAAACCTATCACAGAGATTGCTGTTATCACCATCTAGTCCAATTTGTCTAATTCAGTAACCTTATGGGTTTAACCTTATTCATTACTTTAAGGTTAAGTTTGGCATCACCTTATGGGTTTCAAACCTATTCATTACTTTATTATTGGTCAGCTTAAAGAAATAGAAGGTCAATTATGTACTAGTGTACTCTTTGACTGGCTATATTCACCTTTATGCATTAGGGTGGTTTTGGCAAACCTTTGTCCAAAAGTGAAGTATTAAGATATCTTCTAGAAGGCACTGTAGATTTGAAGGCACTTCCAGATAGCCTGCTTGACGGGGAAGATGAAGAACATGACAGTAGCAAATGTAGCACTGTTACATCATCAAGTATGTAAACTAGCAAATGCTCTTTATTTTTGTTTCTTTTTAGTTTATCATACAAGGAAAATAGCATGGTGGAATCTGCGCTGCTATTCTTTTTGTTATTACTATTAGGAAGGTGCATTAATGTTCTTCCATATATTCCTCTATTAGCCAAACTACCATACTGCAAGAAACTCCTGTGTCGTCACTCGTCAACTTGTTCTTGTTGTACTAATCGGTTTTCTATACAACTCCTTGCTTTCTTGTTTTGATGTGCAGCTGATGGCTCCAGTAAGTGGATCAAAGTAAAAGAAGGAAGAACACTTCAAGAGGTGCTGCAGGATAAAGGCTATATCGTTCCTGCAATTCCTGGTCTGTTCCTTCAACCCTTATATACTCTACATACATAGTTCATGCAGCATTTTTAGTTATGCGAATGGAGGATAATACCATCACTTCATATGCAGTGTTCTTTGTTGTTTCAAGAAAGTCGGCCTTCTATAAAGATTTCAAGGCTGGAAGTTGGTCTTTGCCATGAAACAAAACCGGACACTAAGGTTCAGCTTAAATTGATCTCCGAGATGGCAGCAGATATGGCAAGAAAGCGGAAGATGCTCGCTTAATCATGGTCCTTTGGTTTAGGAGTGTGCTTTTCAGTATCTGCAGACTGACAGTCTTTTGTTTGCCACCGTTTTTCTTGATTGATGGCCGAGGATATGTTACCGAGATAGACAGAAAACACAAGGCAATGTAATATGAATTTCTATCTGAACCGATTTAGCATGGATTTAGTGTGTTATGTAAGTCCCAATTGATGGATGGGCTTGAGAGTTGTGCCTGAGCTTGCTTGTATTGTATGGCCACAGACGCTCTTTTCCCATTTATAATATTGTGCGACTCTTATGACTCCCAGCGCTCTCAGATCGATCGAGCAACACACTTGGGATGTATGCTTGCCGCTGGGAGCCGATGATCTGTGCTGCCATGTTCTCGATGCTCCTGCAACGAGGCAAAAGTTACCGCCCTCCTGGGCAGCAGCCAGCAGTGGGAGTTCCAGGATACGAACAGGGGCGCTGCACACTGCGGTTTGTGGTGGTGGCGCGCGAACCAAAGCCAGGTGTCTGCTCTGCGAACCTCAGATGTCTGCTCTGCGAACCTTGGGTGCGTTAATGGAAGACAAGAAGCTGCAATGCAAGCACAAGCTGAGAAACGGCGGAAGCCAACAAGAACGGCCGCCTCGGCCTCCGTTCATCTCTATCCCGTGCCGCCCGTCCACCAGCCACAGCCGCACATGACAAAGCAGGAGGCGCGGCTAGTATTCTGCCTGTGCGGTGTGCGCGTACAGAGTACAGACACGACTCACACGAGCGATTGATCTTCTTATATAGAAGCGCCGTAGCGAGCCAAAGGATTAGCCCGGTGCCCCGGTCACACACACGTACGTATAAGCGTGCGCGCCATGGAGCAAGCCGAGGCGGTGAGCGGCACGCCTGGAGCGGGAGTGGATGGTGGTGAGAGGACGGCGAGGAAGGCGGCGACGGCGCTGAAGGTGGTGGTGGCCGTGGACGCGAGCGATGAGAGCCTGCACGCGCTGTCGTGGGCGCTGGACAACATCGTGCGGTGCCACCCGGACGCCGGGACGCGACGCTCGTCGTCGTCCACGCCCAGCACGCCGTCGACCACTTCGCCTACCCCGTCGCCGCGCACGGTATCGGTACCAGTACCACCCGACCCGACCACCCTTGCTCCTATCCAAGCTGACACCTGAATGATTCGTGCCACGTACGCTGATGATCCAAAAGCCGTCGTGTACGCCCCGTCCCCGGCGGCGGAGTCCATGCACACCGTGGCGCAGGAGGAGAACTCCCGCAGGATCGTGGCGCGCGCGCTGGACGTCTGCAAGGAGAGGCCGGTGGGCGCCACGGGGGCCGTCGTGGAGGGCGACGCCAAGGAGGCCATCCGCCAGGCCGTCGAGCGGATGCAGGCCGGGCTTCTCGTCCTCGGCAGCCGGGGACTCGGCACAATCAAGAGGTAGAGACCGCATTTGCCTTGTTGCCACACTAGGCCATCGAAAACCTGTCGATCTACTCATGTGTGTTCTTTGTGACGACTGACGGTGCAGGGCGTTCTTAGGCAGCGTGAGCGACTACCTCATCCATCACGCCTGCTGCCCAGTGCTGGTCGTGAGGCCCAGGCCACGGCCTGGGCGTTCGGTTTTAACCGTTAATTCGGTTCGGTTTATTCGGTTATTAAAAACTTCGGTTTTCAGCCTATATCACCCGTTCGGTTCTGCAGAAAACTAAAAACCGCATAATTTGGTTTCGTTTTTTTTTAATTCGGTTTTCGGTTTAAACCGAATTAACCGTCAGTCTGAAAACAGCAGATTACAGCACATATGATATATCAAGTCTTAAGCTGTCAAGCAAAGCAACAACCAGCAGCACAGAATTACACAAAGTAGTGTCGGCATCTCACAGTACACAAATAAACAAGCCTCAAGACAACAGTACACAATTACATAGATTCAAGAGTTCTTTATTATTCAAATAGAGAAATATTAAACACCCAGCAACAGCAGCATGCATACACCAAGTGATCATGACTCAGTAGCTGGAGTATCTTCCCTGCGACTGCGAGCGCCTTCGGGCTCCCTGCTCGTCGCCGCGACCTGCTCCAGTCGCCCGCCGCCGCGCTCTGCTAGGGCCGTCCGCTGGCGCCGCCGCCGCGCTGGGCACTGTCCTAGTCGCCTCTGCCTCTAGACAACACCAGAACAAGAAAACAAGTCCAAATTAATCAATTAATCAATGCAGTGAGTCTGAACTGAAAATGAAGCATAACAAGTGCAACGCTCCTGACAGCGAATCCTAATCCGCTAACAATCCAAACTTAGTGCGATGTCAAGCCAAGTACAAGCAATAACATTTGCATGTCTCCATGAATAGATGCACTGGTACACAAGAATAAGCCTATTCAGTACAAACCACAACGAACAGATGCACTGATACACAAGCATAAGCCTATCCAGTACAAACCACAAGTTCAAAAGATTACAACAGAACGTTAACAGGTCATGGAGCAGCTCAAACTTGTGACCTGTGACTCTAACACAATATATGAATAAAGTTCAACTTCCACAGGAACCAAGAATCCGGCTTTTTCCAAAGGTGTCAATAATATAAACTCAGATGTAAACACAAAATATCAAAAACACTATGATGTAGGCTTAACCAACTTAGAGCATACACCATGAAAGTGACATAAACAACTTATAGCACAACCCGCAACGGTTCAAACAGGACATTGAGATGATCACAGAGAATAGTACTCATGTATGTCATTGTAGAATCTTGTGTCATCACAGGTCACTTTGCTCAAATCAGGATAGGAGTGCTCATCAGGGGGACGAGAAGCGTAAGTACTCAGTAGTACTCCCAGTAGCTACCATAAGAACCATCACTTATCCCCCCCTAGACCTAAAAGGCCAGCTAAAGTTTAACAATGTTCCTGACAGATAATCCCAATACAGAGCAAATCTATAAACCCAACCTCACCCAACATCCAAACCCCGAGCCCCCTCTCAAAAATCCACGGGAAACCCCACCACCACCCATAACATAATCTAACGCCACCCTGACCACCAAACCCTAAACCCCAAACCGCGCGTCGTGCTCACACCCAGACCGACCCTAAAATCCCCCTCCCTCCCTGTTTCTCCGCGCCGAGCAGAGGCAGTGGGAGCAACGGGCTCGGGGAGGAAGGCGTGGGGGGGAGCGAACTCACCGGAGCACGGGGCGCGGGGAAGGAGCGGGAGACGGAAACGGAGGCGCGCAGGGGTAGCCTTTCTCCGCGCCGAGCGGAGGCAGTGGGAGCAGCGGGCTCACCGGCTCGGGGAGAAAGGCATGGGGGGGAGCGAACTCATCAGAACGCGGGGCGCGGGGGAGGAGCGGGAGACGGAAACGGAGGCGCGCGGGGGTAGGCGCCGCCACTGCAGTTGCTGCTGCCGCGACCGTGAGAGACGCCAGGATGGCTTGATGCCCTGATGGCCTGATGGGCTGGGGTCTGGCCGTCCGGGGAGCGAGCGACGGAGCGTGTGTCTGCGCTCTGCTTTCTGGCCACGGAGGTTGTACATCGGTTTGTTCGGTTAATCAGTTCGGTTTAAGTATAAAACCGAAGCAGAAGCCGAACACCGAACAGTGCAAAAGTAGAAACCGAACTGCAAACCGAAAACCGAAAAAACCGACACTTCGGTTCGGTGCGGTTCGGTTTGCGGTTAAAAAATGCCCAGGCCACCAAGTGAACTCTGACGCCTGTCCTTCTCAAGTAGTACTCCAGTAATGTAGGCAAGTGCCCTATGTGTACAATATGCATGTTCGTACGAAAATGTACAAACCGAATAAAGAACCGATGCATGGCGGAGCGCCTGCTTGCCTACACTTCTGAACTCTGCCGTTATCACCAAAGAATTAGGAGGTTAGACACGTCTGCGAATCACCTTACCTATTCACATTACCTCTGAACCATTTAACCTTACATGCATTCCTTTATAAATGCAAAGGTTAATGTACTCGTTTCAGTCATGCACGCGTACTAAGAAGCGATAAATAAACCAACAGGCTTTGAGGCTCAAAATGTACATAAACTATTCCAAAACTCATAAAAATCAATGTACTCAAATGATTTGAGTTTCCTTCATGTTCGCTTGAAATGTTCTCGTATAAATCTCTCAGCATGAGACGGATACTTTTCTCGGATGTATGCACGGAGGCACTTCTGGTATGAGAAATCAATCCAAACACCATCTGTGCGAACAACAAAAAGGCATCTTGACTTCCTGAACTCAGGGTGCCTATCAACCTTCAAGGAGAATCCAAGTTACGAGAATCAATGACATATACAGTTCTGAATTACAAGTATAGATTTGAACTTTCCAGTCAAGTTTGTAGCAAGTATTTTGCAAAGTACACTAAACCATTCCAAAGTAATTACGCATGAGGGCACGATGTGTGCAGTATTATTTTTGCGAGCTTCTTTGTATCCAGCACAAAAGCTTCATAATACAGTATATAAGCACATAACACTTTGACTGAGAAAGCAATTCCACTTCATGGAAGGAATTATCTAATCATGATCGCGTACAATGCCATAGAATCAAAGCAGGGTGGATGAAGTGGCGCCAAGCATCTGGTGTCTTATGTGATAAAAGAGTACCACAGAAGCTAAAAGGCAAGTTTTATAGGACGACGATTAGACCTGCTACGTTGTATGGTGCAGAATGTTGCCCTACGAAGAGACGACATGTTCAACAGATAAGTGTCGCGGAAATGCGTATGTTGCGTTGGATTTGCGGTCATACAAGAAGGGATCGAGTTCGGAACGATGATATACGTGATAGATTAGGGGTAGCACCAATTGAAGAAAAGCTTGTCCAACATCGGTTGAGATGGTTTGGACATGTCTAACGGAGACCTCCAGAGGCACCGGTGCGTAGTGGAATCCTAAGCCAGGATAGTAACGTGAAGAGAGGCAGAGGAAGACCGAAGTTGACTTGGATAGAGGCAATAAAAGGAGACTTGAATGGATAGAATATACCCAAAGACTTAGCTTTAGATAGGAGTGCTTGGAAAACAGCTATTCACGTGCCTGAACCTTGATTGCTTCTGCTGGGTTTCAACTCTAGCCTACCCCAACTTGTTTGGGACTTAAAGGCTTTTTGTTGTTGTTGTTGTATGATCGCGTACAATGCCATGACTATGTCCACGCTACAGTATAAATGATTCATATGATGCATGGTACTGATTGATCTTGAAAGGAAGATCAACTTCAATATAGCATCAATCAAATTAAACTTATATCAGATATGGATTTATATTGCCTTACATACAGAGTTCACGTGAACAATTCCGAGGGCAGAGGTGGGCCAACAAAAGTGTTGAAGTTAATGGTCTAATGGACAAATGTGCATAGCCGATCAGCTCTACATTTTTTTTATATGGTTTTGTATCTCTCCTACTTTAGCGATTGAGTTTAATGGATAAAATTAAGAACTATTTCTTAATCAGAATACAATTTTCTCATAATAAGCTGGACTAACACCTTGGTAATTATTATTAATATACATATTTATTCAGAGCAGAATGTCATGAAATAGCCTTGGCAGCACAAGATACGTGTGGCATTGCCTCATTTGTTTTCCGTATATACAATCATACACACATGGTGCAAAACTTCAGTAAATAGACTCAGTGCTATTGCAAAATGTCAGCAAATTGCCTGGTATAAAATGGATTCGATGCTGGAATCTAGGTGGGCCAGTGGATCTGGCCCTAAACCTAATCGGCGCGGCTTAGGAGCTATGTTGAGCTCACCCCAAGCCACCAACAAGGCAGGATTGAAGAAGAAACCAGAAAGATAAGTTGTTCAACCAATCAACCCCACACTGCTTAATGCCTCCCTTGAAAAACTGACTCTGATCAACAAAGGCTCAATCTAAAGATGGCATGATGGCATTTCAACTAACCTACAATGAACAAAACCTGAACTAACAATGACTCTAGACAAGGTCTACTGAAGATCTTTCATATGCCCAACCTGACAACCTGACCTTAACAATGATCAATGACTCTAGCCCAGGTCTACTGAAGGCACGGTTGTTGGTCACCTTCTTGCACCGTGAGTAGGCTATAAGAGGTGTGGAGCTAGGTGGGTTCAACAGGGTTAGCTGACCCCTATAAGATCTTGTTAATCCTATGGAAATCACCGTTCATCACTAGCAATGACCCCATTGATACAAAAGAGATGATCCCAGCAGATTCGATGGCTGGCTTTGGCCTTGGCCCACATGACAAAGATCTTCAACAATGAGAGTGGCTTGTCGACTGTGCAACCACAGTTTGATCAGGGGCAGCACAAATCAAATGAGGCAAAGAACCGGACTAGCTGCAAGGCTCCAACTTAAATAAAACTGACCCCAAAAGAAACTAACTTAGTAACTAGAACAAGCAGCCGCAGAATAATAACATCTAAAAGAAAATCACAGCGTATCATCAATTCATTCCGTTTTCTTTTTTTGGGTAAAGTGCTACTAACATGTGGCAAGTATCCCATATTTTCAACAGAAAATCAAAAATAACTAGTGAATAAAATTGTGCAGCTGTTACTAGTGGCTGACTCACCATAATAGCGTCAAGTCCACATCCAATTTTGTCCTGCGCTCGTGGATGATAGGAGAGGAGCTTCTCCACGACGACATTTTCGTCCTTTGGGCAGAGACATTCGCCATCTCCGTATCTGCTCGGACGCACGCAGCTTGGTTAGAGAACTTAGAAGGCACGAGGAAAGTGTCAACCACTGCATTTCCATTTTCACCAAGTTCATTACAACTGCGGAGAAAGGAGGTGATCACCTATCGGAGTGGAGGATATCCTTGGTGAGCTGGACGACGGGGTCGATGTCGCGGAGGATCTCCGCCTCCGCGGCCCTAAACGGCAGCGGGGGCTCCGGCGTCCCCACGACCGGCGGGTTGGCGAGCTTCGAAGTCGGCGGGAGCGCCGGGGGAGCGGGCTCGCCGGCGGTGGGAGGCCCGGAGAGGAGTCTACGGCGGGGCACCGGGGCCGCCCACGGCGTGAAACGGGAGGCGCGTAGGAGGATGAACGGGGCCCCGGCGCGGGGGAGGGAGAGGGCGGCGGCCATGCCGCCCGAGAGGGAAGGATTGGAGAGCGTGGTGTGTCGTCAGAGCAGCGTGGAGTGGATAGCTGCACAGCAACAGTTCGACCCCCTGCGCTCTCCGCCAAACATCGCAGAGCACCCATGTGCCCACATAGTTGGGCCATAGGCCCACAGCCCATATAGGTTGGAGGCAGGGATACGAGTAGTCGTCCTGTTCTTTACACTCCTTCGGCGGTACTTTCTTTACACTCCTTGAGCGGTACTTTGCAGTGAACGACCATATATTTTTTTTACAATAAATCAAGATAAGCATCCATATGGTCAGATTTACTTAAAAAAAATAGTAGTGTCCGGATAAAGTACTTCATCTTTTTCTTTGAGGGGATAAAGTACTTCATCTTTGTGATGATGACGAACATCGAGGATAACACCAGATCAACGGGTAGAATTATGACAATTACATTACATGCACAGTTAGCACAATAATACATGGAGAACCTACCCAAGGTGATGTAAATCCACGGTATGGGACACCAATTCACCACAATCAATCATCTCCAGAAATGCTCTATGCTAAAATTACAGTAATTTGAACTGACAAAAATTATGCTCCATTTGTTCCAAATTGTAAAGCGTTCTAAATTTTCTAAATACCATGCTTTTAATATATATTTAGACATAATGTATATTTAAGTGCGTGGTAAAAATATTGTACCTATAAAAGGTAGAATGTTGGTATTTTGTGATGCTCTACACGGTCAATTCTCAAATTGACTGAACAAACCGAAGTACTTTGAATAGACAAAACCCATATAAAATATGATGCTCTACTCAGTAGATCCTCAAAGCGATTGATCAAATCAAAGTACTCTTGAGCGTAGAATGAGCTCAACAAGTTTAGTGCTGATACAACCATGTTTAAACCCTGAAGAACAAGCTTGAGGAGGATTGAACTGTGCCACCAAATCTGGACAACTTCACTTTTCCTTCCTCTCTTCTCTCAGATTGTGTTTTGCGTGTTCTACGTTCACTCACTATCTCTCCAATGACAACTACAATTGGGCAAAGCATGGTAGGGTTTTTGTGCATACCACTCCTTCACAAAAAACGCTCAACCGTTGATTCAAGTATCAAATCAATGGTGCATAAGCTCATGCAAAAACCACAGAATTGTAATAGTATAGATACACAAATTGTTCAAAGAGACTCCTAGCTTGCTCAATGAGAAGCACGTATCTTAGATTGTTCATCGACACAAACCAATAGTCCCCATAAACATAATCATGGAAAAATGAGGTACACTAACAATGTAAACGTTTGATTGACCATACATCACAGACACAAATTTATCAAATAATTGTTGCTACAATTCAAATTGGAGCGATCAGTTAAGAGAGCTGCAGGAAAAAAGATGGAACAGCTCTAGAAGTATTTGTGTACAGTTAGATAGAGGCACCATCACTTTGGTCCCAACCACCAAGTCTGTCAGCAGGATCATAATTCGTGAACAGCCGGAACTCGTTGCCTAGTTTGTTCGAGTGCCGAGGCTTGAAACTGCATGGATGAACATTCAGCAGCTCCAATGCCCGATCCTTTTGAACTTCCCCTGGCAACATAGGGTGATTCTAACTGAATTTTGTTTTGACAAATATAGAGTTGAAATATGCTTTCCGTATAAAACAGATATTTTTATTGAAAGGGAAACAAAGAGACTTCAGTAATAGAAGCAGATGATGCCACGATAAATATGCAACTCCTGCGCTATTAATACATTAATTAATAGATCATTTTGTCAAAACTAACAAGTCACAATGAAGTCAAAGTCATCTCTAGCACCCTTGGATATATTATAAGATGAAACTAGCAAATCAGAGTTCAATATTGTTGGCGTAGCCAACAGAAATGAGAGAACGAAGGGTGAGAGAGCGAAGGAGAAAGGATGGAAGAGAGCACACGAGTGATCAGCCCTGAGGTGCCTCTCCATGCCCCCCTCTCCCCCCTTTTATAGAGGAGGTTGGAGGGGAGATTCTCACGGTATTATGCAAGCCTCCAAGCTACATAAGGGCCCTGCCCCAACAAACATGAATGTTTAGTGATTGCAAAACCAACATTAACCCCCAACAAACATGAATGTTTAGTTATTGCAGAACCAACATATACCAAAGCAATATCAACTAATCATGTTCGCTTGACGCAACATTAAAGTTGAAGTCATCATCGGCAGGGCCGTCTCTAGGGGTTGGCAAGAGGTGCGACCAGGGGCCCAAGCCACTAGGGGCCATTATTATATATGTATATAGTAGATATATATAGCCATTATAATAAAGTGTTTAAGACCCATATATTTTGCACATCAACTCATGAGAGGCTAGCGTTTTTTTCATTCTCGATCGACATAGTTTGTCTCTCTCGTAGTTTGATTCGACGTTCGATCCAATGCATCACACCTCGACCAGGCGACAAATCTTCTTATCGTCTCGTTGCCTGAGTGCAGAGTACCCAACGTTACTGCCCACCACCCACTGTCGATGCCTAAGTGCGACAAGCAGGACCGCGGGCGTTCGGCTACCCATTGAATGGCTTAGATATGTGCGGCATCGAGAAGGATATTTGAGAAACATTGATCTCAGTATAGTTCTTGAAGATTTTGCATTAAGAAATACCCAAAAATGATATTTTACAAAGCATCGAAACACTATTATATTATTTGAGATAATCATAATAGTTATTTGCTGTCATTTTAGTTCTTTCGTTATACTATCATTATCTTTACAAACTAAATATATGTTGTAAGTTATTTTCTTCGTACTATATAATTCAATCATCATATAAAAAATTAGGTTAATGGACCCTTACGATCATGTTTGTCCGAGGGCCTTTAAAATTAGGGATAATTGGATTCATGCCATTACAAAAACGACATTTCTGAGATTTATCATTACAATTCGGCTATTTCAAAATTTGCCATTACAATTCCTAACTCTACCCCAGTGTTGCCAGTTTCTACGTCTGGCCATCGTTTGGGCCCACCTGCAGGCTGAATGCACGTACAGGAGACCGTATGGACGGTATTTGACCCGGCCGCGACCCAGCACGTGGACGCCGTCTCCATTCCGTCTCCTTCCCCGGCCCCTTCTCCACTAACCCTAGAGCGGCGAATTGGCGGCGGCGAATCAGGAAAGCTGCTGCTGGTGGAGGCAAGGGAGAGCTGCTGGGCGTGGCCCAGCTCTGTCCCTACGGCGGCGCAGGCGAATCGACGACGGCGGCAGAGGACTAGTGGTGGAGGCTTGGTGGTGGAGGCTTGGCGTGGCCTGGCTCAGCCACTGCGGCAATGGTGGTTGGATGAGCTCCATGGCGCTAGTCCCTGGGTGCACCGCGGAGACGATGGAAGGCGGCGACGACAGGTATGCCTCTGAATCCCTCTCGACCTGACCTAAGATGAGGAGACCTAAGAACGAGTAGATCCACCCCATAACGCTGTAGGTGTGCCACATTTGATATTTTTACCTTTCCATTTGCATGGTGATAGGCTCGATTTCTTTGCGCTGGAGCTGAAAGTGGAAGGTTTCTATACAACAGATGCCTTCGGTAGAAAATCTTACAAAAAGGGTGCAATTATTAAGTGGGATGTGGAGATAGGCTCTTTTACGCTAGAGATGTTGATGACCAGCTTGTGCAATGAAGTGAAATGGGCCTCTAACCAATCTACGTGCGTGTGGTTTTTTGATAAAAATACGCATGAAGATGTCAGACTACTCCATGAGGGGCAGATGGCAGAACTCTTTGCCATGTATAAGCAAGAGATGTGTTGCCAGTTTGTAGTTGGAGTGTTTGACAAAGAGGTGTGTAATGAGCATGAATTTGTTGATTTAGAGGCTCTGTGTATGATTCCACCTGATGATCCTATGATTGGTCAATACCCAGAGCACACTCATGTTAGGAATGAAAACCCCACTGCAGCCAACCAAAGCACAGCGCCCAATGGTGCAAGTACCCATCCCATAGGAAATGATGCAAACCTTGAGGGTGAAAGGGAGCCAGATATATTTGACAATGAGGAGTATGTTGGCGTTGATGACGAGCACATTTACACTTCAGTCCCATGTACACAGACAAACTTTGCAAACAATGTAGCAGCTGTTGCTGATGATGTTAATGCCAAAGGAGGAGTCCCTCTAGAGGCACAAGTCAATGATGCAGATCCTCAGGAGATACATGTTGTGCATGATCCAGAAAATCCCAACATAGTGAAGGGAGCCTTATTTCCTGACATAGTTTCATTCAGGAAGGCTGTAAGGCATTATGCTGTGACAAGGGGTTTTGAGTTTAGGGACATCAAGACCGACAAGACAAGATTCATTGCTAAGTGTAAAGCAGAGGGCTGTCCATGGAGGATACATGCTTCCAGAATCTTTGATGGAAAAACAATAGAGGTAAGGGAGTTCATGCTTTGTCTAGTTGTTATTTTACATGCTTTGTCTAGTGATTATTTTAGTCTTCCTGTTGATCATAATTGTCCATATGTATTGTTCATGTTTTATAGATTAAAGTGCTTCCTGCTGGTCATAACTGTCCCACAACCAAGCCGAGGGAAGGGAAGATGGCTTCTCAAGGGTGGTGTGCAGATAGACTGGCCGATTGGCTAAAGAAGAACCCTAACAAAGGTCCCAAAGATGCAAAGGACAAGTTAGAGGGTGATTATGGGATTACTTTGAAATATTCAAAAGCATGGTCTGGTCTGAAGCTGGCCATAGAGCAGATTCATGGTACATATGAGGAATCTTTTCAACTTCTGTTTAATTGGAAAACTCAAATTGAGATGAGCTCTCCTGGAAGCATCGTAGAGATTGAGCTAGAAGGTACAAAGAAGAATTGCTTTAAGATGATTTTTGTAGCTCTGAAGCCATGTGTAGATGGATTTTTGGATGGCTGTAGACCCTTTGTGGGCATAGATGCCTCGGCCTTGAACGGCCAGTACACCGGACAGTTGGCTTCAGCAACTAGTGTTGATGGCCACAACTGGTTATATCATTTGACCTTTGCTGTTTTTCACTCAGAGACAGAGGACAACTGGAAATGGTTTCTGCAGCAGTTGCGTAGAGCTATAGGCTCACCAGAAGGCCTTGTAATATGTACAGATGCTTGTAAAGGGTTGGAACTGCAGTGGGCAAGGTATTCCCAAAAGCAGAGAACAGAGAGTGTATGAGGCACTTGTGTTCCAACTTCATGAAGCACTATCATGGGGATGTATTCACTGACCACTTTATATCCTGCTGCAAGAAGCTACACAGAGGGTCTTCTCAAGTGGCATATGTAGAAGATTTATAAGTTTGCTCCTGATGCTATAGAATACCTACAAGAATATCATGGCAGGTTGTGGTATAGGTGTGGATTTTCAGAGAAAAGTAAATGTGATTATTTAACCAATAATGTGTCTGAGAGTTTCAATGCTCAGATCAAGAATTCAAAAGGCTTGTTGTTGCATGAATTGCTTGATGGAATTAGAGAGTTGATCATGGAGAAGAGGTACATTAGGAGGAAGATAGGGAGAGAGATGCAGGACGGCATCCTTCCAGGTGTCATCAAGGAGCTAAATACAATTAGCAAAAACCTTAGAGTTGTCAGAGTTACAAGGAGTGATGAGCACATGGCTGAAGTTACATTGTTTGATAACTACAACAACCAAAAGAGGCATTCAGTGGACCTCTAGAACCACTCATGTGGATGTAGGGAATGGCAGCTCACAGGCAAGCCTTGCAAACATGCCTTGGCATGGATACTATCCAACAAAGGGATCAAAATTGCTGATTTTGTGCATGAGTATTATTCAGTTGCTAGATTCAGGGCTGCATATGCTGCTAGAATAGAGCCCATACCAGATAGATCACAATGGCTAGTTGTTGATCTTGGCTTCAAAGTTCTTCCACCACTGATGGGCAGAGCTCCAGGTAGACCCAAGGTACAGAGACAGAGAGGATGCCTGGAGACAAAAGCAAGCAAGAAGAAGGTCAAATGCAAAAGGTGTGGCAATTTTGGCCACTTCACCAAAACTTGCAAGCTGCCAGAGCAAGGACAAGATGGAGAAGCTGCAGTAGGCACACAAAACAAGAGGTTCCTTCTCGCCCCCTTCTTGTTTTCAGTTTACTGAAATTATTGCTCGGTGTGCTAACTTGACATTGCGGCTGTAACAGGAAGAGGCAGGAAACAGGAGACACTGCTGGACCATCCCAAGTCAAGAAAAAGAAGGCTGCAACAAAGAAAAAGAAGACACCAAAGAAAAAGAAGACTCCAGTTAAAAAGAAGCTTGTGAAGGCAGCTGCTGCTCCACAACCTAGTGTTGTCTGAAGCCTGAAAGACTTCATTGCCAGCCTATGAACATGTGTGATGGCAATATGTGTGATGAACTTTATTGTCAGCTGTGAACTTTTGATTAAGTTAGCTTTTCACCTTTTGTTTAAGTCAGCTGTGTCTTTGTAATGTAACCTGTGAAGACCTATGAACTGTTAGATTCTGAATTTCTCTTGGCCTGTGCTGCCAGCTATGTTGCTGTCAAGTAAGCATGTGCTCTTTTCTTTGTGTTCTGAACTGTCAAACTTGCAAAGGCAGGTCCTTGCAGATGCTGCACTGCACCAAGCAGATCGGCATGCCGAACTTGCTCCTTTGCCTAAGCCATGAAACATTGGTGGACCAACGAGTAAATAAAGTTACCAGATTTCATAAGATAGTAACATCTTCACCTTTTTAAAATCAAGACAGTAACAAGCACCACATTTTCATAAGATAGTTTCGGCCTCCCATTTTTATATTAGAATAACAACAAAAAACATGGAAGTTGGTCATACAAGCTGAACACACTATTAGTTGGTCAACACACTACTTCATAAGATAATTCCAGTGCTGCTGAAATTGGTCATACAAGCTCAACACACTACCCATTACAGGTTTCTGCATTACATTGCTGCTACAACCATTACACAGTACCTACCATCGCTTCCAAATTAGGGCAGCAAAGACACCAATCAAGACACCAACAGACAATGTTGCTACAACTGAAAAATCAACTACAACCTGCCACTTCCTCTTGCCTTATTCCCCTTCCTGCATTATCTGACCTTGTCGCATCTTCAGGTTCCAAACTTCAGTTGCAACGCTATCCACAATTTGCTTCACTTCGTTGAGTTCATGCCTCAAATCGGCACATCCTTCATCACACAATTGCATCATTGCTGTCGGATTGGAATTGGGCACCTGATTCTTTAGGCGTTCCTTGGCTGCCCAAGCCTCGTACTCCGTCTCAGACCGGATGAATGGACATGTAGTCCTACGTCATACACAATGCAACCTTCATGAACAAGCTAACAATACAATGATTTCTCACCTTGATATTTGTTGGGGCACTTGATAAAGTACTGATCTCGGGTTTCCGGCTGCTTGCTCTTGATCCGAACCAAAGGAACGAAGCACCATGGGCAATCTAGGAGGCCAGAACGATGCTCAGTTCTGCTGGCGCTCGCCATCGAGCTTGACACCGTCGCAAGGCCCTTCATCGGACTTCCTCTCAACATCTTGCGTCGAGATGGATGAGGGCGCGGCCGTCGAGATGGATGAGGGCCGGACTGTCGCAGTCCTCCTCCGCCGTCGTCGATTCGCCTGCGCCGCCGCAGGGACAGAGCTGGGCCACGCCCAGCAGCTCTCCCTCGCCTCCACCAGTAGCAGCTCTCCCGATTCGCCGCCGCCGCCTCCAATTCGCCGCTCTAGGGTTAGTGGAGAAGGGGCCGGGGAAGGAGACGGAATGGAGACGGCGTCCACGCGCTGGGTCGCGGCCGGGTCAAATACCGTCCATACGGTCTCCTGTACGTGCATTCAGCCTGCAGGTGTGCTGGCCCAAACGATGGCCAGACGTAGAAACTGGCAACACTGGGGTAGAGTTGGAATTGTAATGGCAAATTTCGAAATAGCCGAATTATAATGGTAAGTCTAAGAAACGGCCTTCATTGTTAGGAACTGAATAGTTAATCTCTTATGATTCTCTCCTGCATAATTCTCCAATTATCCCTTAAAATTATAGAGATGGCCATAATCATCAGCACCCTTGGCCAGATTATAAAGGTGAAGATATCATATAGGACTTCCACACTATTGATTATTGATTGCAGAACAACATCAAAATACCAAAGAATATATCAGACTAATCGCTTTCACTTGATAGAGCATTGCCATGAGCCCCAATTACCTGTGAGCAGCAGCAGGAATGAACCTTCAGGCTGTGCGAGGAAAGACACTGTCTTGGCAACCTTTTCCAAGCATTCCTTACTCTGCACCAACAACCACCGAATAATGACCATTTCTCCTCGATCTTTCCTCTTATCTCAAACGTTAAGAACTAATCAAACAGTTTTTAATAGGTAATCTCTGGTAGGGTAGAAACAGTACCAGATAGGGAGGGTCGGCAACGACGACGCGGTAGGCGTGCTTCATCGCCGGCGGCAGCTCCTCCGGTCGGTTGTAGTCGTAGAAGGTGAAGTCGCCGCCGTACTGCCCGAACCGCTCGTCGTACTCCAGCAGCTGCGCGGGCACTCCCGGGTCGGTCTTCTTCAGGTAGGCGTAGAGCGTCGGGCACGCGATGCAAGCCACGGCGCTGGCGGCTGAGCCTGAGCCAGAAGTGGAGACAAGGCGGATGACCTCCTCCACCAGCGCCCGCGCGGTGCGCTCGTCGTACCAGAACTGGCTCAGCAGCCAGTCCTCCTGGACCAGCTCTACCCCGCCATCCCCTCCTCCAGTTTCATCCTGCTCCTCCGGCTGCTGCTGTTCCGCCAGGAACTCCCGGAGCGCCTCCATCGCTGCAGCGCTCAGCTGAGGCACATCGTCGTCGTCTTTCTCCCCTCTGACCTCCCCGCCCACCCTCTCATCCTCCACACCGCTCGCCGCCATCGCATCCACCGTTGGTCTGCTGCGCAGTGACGAGGACTGAGGGAGGCGGCGGCTCGGGGCACCCTGTACCTGTAGTAAACGCTCGGCTGGTCCACTCCTCCAATACGACGAACCAATGGGCTTAACGAAATGAGCATTTATGGAGTCACCACATGGGCCTCGTCGCCCCAAAGGCCCAGTGAGCCTGACGGAAAGAGCAGTAATAAAGCGGAGTGGCAATGGAATCGCTCGCGCAGGAGAGGGGGGAACTGGGAAGGGAGCGGAAGAGAGGTGGGTGACCGCCGCGCCTCCGTCCAGCCTTCCAGTTCCAGGCGTGGCGAACTAGGCAAGCGGCACACTCCGCCTCCGCATACGCTCCTCGAGTGAGCTCCAGTTGCCGCCGCCGCCGCCGCCGTACTCAGCAGCAGAGACCGGCGAGTCAACAGGTAGCAGAGGGGGTGGAGAGGAGCAGTTCCTGTTCGCCCGGTCACCGCCCGCTCGGAGCATTCCCGCTGCTGCGTCCGCCTCAGTTTGCCGTCGCCCTGTTGCACGTACGGCTAGGGTTTGGAGATAGATCCGCCCGCCGCCCCGCCGGCTCGTGTGGAGGCGCGCAGTGGTGCGGGGAGGAATAGAGGAAGTGCCTGGCTCGCGCGGTTTTCGTTCCTTGTTCTGGAAGCTTCAGGGCGCGCGATCCGGTTCCGTCGCAATCGGTAGCAATGTCGGGCTCGTCCGCGGCAGGGGAGGACATAGTGCAGCACCTATCGTCCAATTCCAACCCGTCTTCGTCGAAGCTTGCCAAGCTCGAGGCCCGCATGGCCGGCAAGGCTGTCTCCGCGCCATCGTCACCGCCGCACCATCCCATGGCTGCCCCCGCCTCCGCCCCCGCCATATCCTTCATGGACCAGGAGGAGCTGCCTGAGACTTCCTCTTCCGATGATGATGTCAGTCCTAAACCTTGAGCTTCTCTCTTACTTTCCCTCTTTTTTTTTTTTTTCCAGTACAGTAGCGTGATCGCTTGGCATCTTTGATTTCCTTGCTCACACATTGGCTATGTTGCTATGATCTCTTTCTAGCCAGAACTATTTGTGCTATTTCTTTTGTTATTATAAACATGTGCACGTGGTTTGCTAGTGTAACTGACAACAAATTAGGCAAAATAATTCCACCTCTAGTTTTATCCTTATTATGCTAGCCCTGATCCCATTCCATTATTCTGTTTTTGCTGATTAGAACTGCGAGGAGTTTTTGATACAAAAGAATACCCTGAAGCGGCCGAGATCTCCAGATGGTGACAGCATCCTTGCTCTTGGAAATTTTGAGGTGGGCTCATCTGTTAGGAACTGAATAGTTAATCTCTTATGATTCTCTCCTGCATTCATTGTGTGCTCATGAGTCTGAATATTCTTTTCACTTGGTGGATTCTCTTGTAATTTGAGAATCAGGGTTCGGCAAACGAGGCAGCAAAGATTTTAGATGTCACGGATACAAGACCATCCTTGGACAATTCAAATAGGAAAAAACAAGGCCGTGGAAGGGGTCGTGCTGGTACAGGCCGAGGCCGTGGCTCAAAGACTGCTGATCAGACACGACTGACTTCGACTTCCTCAGCAGTTGTAACAAATGGTCAACTAGATAAATTAACCAACAAGGTACGATGTGTGATGTGTCTGTACCGTGCTTTAGTATCCTGCACATTCTCATGTGCAAACTTCTGGCCCTTCTCATCAGAGCTATTTCTAGGTCATTTGATTACCTAAACACAATGAATATATTATTGAAGAAATTGTTGTTTTGAAGGCACTTCCTATTTAAGGGTAAAGTTTGGTCAGTTACAGTATGCTGAAATAGATCTTCTAGTAAATTATAAACATTTATGACTTAATAAAAGTTGGTAACTAAGAGAAAATTTGCACCTATCCATAGATATCTATAACACTTTTGAACTACATAGTGAGAATTTTGAAATTTTGCAGATCTAATGAAATAGATGAATCTGTACAAGCTTATGTTCAAAGATAGCCTGGACTTGTTCAATTTTAATAATGTCTTGATCAAAGTACTAGGATACAAGATCTGCCATCTGCGAGTGTTCTTCTGAAGGATCTGTTTTTAGAGAAACTCATTAACAGGCCGTTAGTGTTTTTAACTTTTTATATCCTGATTCAAATGGTTTTGAAAAACAGCACGACGCCCCAGGTCTTGTTTGTGACAATTGGCCGCACGGATAGTTTGAAAGGTTTTGGGTAAACCATTATGTTTGACAACACTAATGTTTTTCGCCCTATGGACAGAACTATTTTCTCCATAATCCATATTTACAATCTCCATCACTGGAAAGTGTGGACACATGCATATACAAAAATGCATTCAATGATGAACAGTTGATCGATGAACCCTATTATACAGTAATTTATCCTAACCTGCTAATTATGAGCACAATTCAACAGGAATCCCGATCGAGTGTTCAACTGGGCCATGACGACAGGGCTGCTTTACAGGTAACTCATTGCTTGACATCATCATCTTCTGCCAAATTTCTAAATATCTCCATCCTTTTCTAATCACACTATCACAATATTGATCTGGATGTGTCCTTTTGGAATTGTCGATGTTTCATGTTGGGTTATTTTGATCTAGGCCATTACAATTCTCCGACTTTTGAGAAACGCCATTATAATTCACCTATTCGGAGATTTGCCATTACAATTTCATCTCTCCCGCATCCATGTCATTTTCTACGGCTGCCGCGTACAAGGCCCACTGTCAGGCACGTATGCCTACCGAAGGCATACGGACGTCCCGTCTCCTCCGACCGAGCCCGCGGCACACCGGCGGCACGCCCCCTCCTTCCCCGGCCCGCGGCACACACTGGCGTTGTCCCCCTCCCCCAATCCCATCCGCATCCCTGTCCCCAAACCCAGCAGCTCCAGGGCGAGGCGCACGCAAGCTCCACAGATGGCCGCGACCTCCGCAGGCAGCAGGACGCCATGGGCCATCCCGCCCCTCGGTGGCGGTGCGTCTCGCACCCGGAGGATGGAGCCCTGGGCGGCGATGAATCCCAAGACCGAGGACGGTCCCGGCCTCTCCATCTCCGACCTCGCATGGACGGAGGCCCGGCGGCAACAAGAACCTTTTTGCGAGCGACGTCCCCCTGGCTGAGGTGCATCTCGTGCACGGCGACAGTGGCCCTCGCCTTCCCCCCACCGGCCGCCATCATCGCGGAGGCGATGACGAGCCGGGTGGCTTTCTTTGGCTATCGGTGGTGCTGCAGCCTGCCGCGAGAGATTTCACCAGTGTGCGCTGGAGGCCGCTACTGCGCGCGCGCTCTCGCGGACTTCTTCGACGCGCGGCGGCGGGGTCCGGCGTGGGCGCGTCTGGCAGCCCTAACTGTTCGCGTCGCCGTTCTTCTTCTCGACCGTCGACCCGCAGAGTCGCCGCGCGCCGACTTCCGGCGGCGGAGGCGGAGAGGCGCGTTCATTGGCGGCGGCGGCATGCACGCGAGAACGGCGCTTCGCCGGGCTTGCCCGGTCTCGGCGCGGCTTTGCTCGCGCGAGGACCGGGCTTTCTGCGAGTTGGTGCGCGCGAAGGACGCGCCCTTGCTCGGAGGTGCCAGCACGCCACCAGCTCCACAGGCACGAACAGGGAGCTCCACAGGCCTGGACGTGCCCTCCACGGACCACGGCGGCAGCGAACTCCAAGTCCTTCACGATGGCCTCCTGCGCCTGCCACGCCATTGCACGCGACTCCATTGAGTGGGATCTCGGCGGTGCCGGTCTTCTCCACCTCGGTCGCTGGCTCACGCAAACTCATGAGCTAAAGGGCGCGGGCTCTGAGCCCTTGTCGCCGCCGCCATGCCACCACCACCCGTTCTGGGCGGCCGAAGCCGGGCGCCGCCACCCCCAGTACAACCACCGCGACCGTCATCGCTGCTGCCGTGGGAAGCCGGCCGCACGCCGCGTGCGTGTCGGCGTTGTGCGGTCGATCTCCTCGGGCGCACCTCGTCGCGAACTGAACTTCGCAGCGGCCAGCCAGGCCCGAGTGAGCCATAGCAGCGAGAAGTTCGTCACGGGGGAGGTGGTGATGGTGTTGTGGACGGTGGAGCGGGAGATGGAGGTCGCCGGCGGGGGTGGTCGCCGCATCGGCGTGTTGGGACTGCGGGCGTGCGCGGCTGCTCCCCCTCGCGCGCAGGCCACGCCGTGGGTGCGTACTCGCCCGCCGCGGGCGCGCTCGGTCTGACGGAGGAGACACGGACTTGATGTCCGTATATCTTGCCGTAGGCATACGTGCCTGACAGTGGGCCTTGTACGTGGCAGCCGTAGAAAATGGCATGGATGCGGGAGAGATGAAATTGTAATGGCAAATCTCCGAATAGGTGAATTATAATGGCGTTTCTCAGAACTCAAAGAATTGTAATGGCCTAGATCAAAATAACCCTTTCATGTTTGCCTGCTTCTGAATATGTCCTTTTGGATGTCTAATTAATAATACATAAACATGGAGTCTTTCAAATGGCTTCTGTACATGGTTTTCATTCTTTTTTCCCTCTCATTTGCTGGGATAGTTTCCACTTACTTTCATTTTCACCTGCCAGTTTAGGCAATCCAACCCTGTAAAGTAGTATGGTGTAGTTAAGATTTTCTCAGAAGTAATAAAGCATAAACAGTGTTAGTGAAATATTTTACTGATGCCATGCCACTTTGGATGCTTATGAATAGACTGTACCAAAAATCTATATGTGTTCTCATTTTTGTTTTAAAATTCTATTCTTAAGCACTCTCCATTTAATAGGAAGAATTGTCAATGTTACGTGGCAAAGTTGCATTTTTGGAGGAGGAACTTTCTAAATCACGTCAAGAAGCAACAACTTACCATCAACTTAGTGATAGGTTAGCAAAGGTAAGGAGATACTTGCTATCAATTTTCATTTAATCATGTATTTTTAGTGTCTTGATTGACATGTTGACTTTGCATCATTCTTACAGGAATTGAAGGATCTCAAAGATCATGACCATCAAATGAGATCTAAGGTTGGTAGCATGTTATCTTATGGTTTACCATATTTGTTTTAGCTACTGCCATTCTTTCATTTGTGTACGCTGGTCTGCTAAATTTGGGAAACTTTAAGTCCACTGTTTAGGCATATCATGGTGAATAACTGTAGTAAATACCTCACTTTGTTCTATATGCACATGATCTTCTACTGTTGTCACCTGTTAGAAGCTGTGTGTGTCAGTGTGTACAATATACTTTTCCTTCTTATAATGGTCAGGCGCACTACATATGTAATTTTTTTAGACCAATGGAGATTTTACTTATGTGCATATGTGCTTGCTGCATGCATGTTGTTTGTCCACATGGTTTGGATGTGGGTTTTGTGCTTTCCTTTTTTATTTCTTTGTGTGGTGGGGGCCATGGTGGAAGTGAGCTTACTGTACTTGTTTAGCTTCAAGGCAGTCTTAATATTTGTGTGGTTGAGAAAATCTGCTCATTCTATGCATGACTAACTGTTCTCATTTTCATTAATGAAGCAAATGAAGGTCCTGTCTGATCTGCTGATAGCTGTGTCGAAAGCAGAGAGGCAAGAAGCGCGAATGAGGATAAGGCAGGAATCTTTCAGACTTGGGAATGTTGGTGTTATGAGGTAATTTTCCAATGTCCCAGCGCTTGATCCTTAATAGTATCCAGAGTGGTCCTAACTCCTAAGAGCCCCCTAACTGCAGCTCTTTATCAAGTATGCCTTCTAATTGACACCTTAAAATTTTTAATAGCAGATGCTGTTTCTTCTCTTCTTATGTTTTTTTTTTTGTATGAATTATCTATTGCGACATTGCTTTGGTTAATTCTACCCTCGTTCTTAACTCAGAGCTGGGACTATCATATCTGAAACTTGGGAAGACGGACAGGCAATAAAAGATCTTACTTCTCACCTGGTGAGTTCTGCAACCCCATAGATATGTCTACTTGCATACACATATTAGAAGATAATGATTTGACCTGTAGGCAGTAGAACTTGTATCTGCATGGTGGTCCATTTGTTGATATGTGGTAGTTGAGAACTGAGCAATAGCTTGGCTGGTAGGGCCTCCAATTGAGAGGCCACCCAACTGGGCTCTGACCCAGGTGCTTGCAGGTCATGTGATGCCTCCCTAAGGGCTAGTTTGGATACACCCATTCCCCATGGGGATTGAGGGGGTGTAGTGTGTGTGTGTGTGTGTGGGGGGGGTGAACTAATTTCTTCCTCGATCGTCTCCAATCCCCATGGGAAATGATTGATAGCCCTAAAGGGTTCGATAATCGCTCTCTTGTGGCAAGGGCAGGGGGCATCTTGCCCCCATGGTGGACTTCTTTCTACAGACAACTTCTGTTCAAGACTCTTTTGTTTACAATTCTAGCCATATTAGATAGGTTGGTCTTGTATACTGATAGTATCATGTTCAGAAGACACATTTGTACTCCCAGTTGGATTTTACTGACACAATCTGTGCAATTCAAAGTTTTCACAAAGTTTCATCTATAGAGGCATTTTGATTGCTAAGGAAATTTAAAAGGGCGTACCCAGTGCAGAGAGCTCCCGCTCTGTGCGGGGTCTGGGGAAGGGTGTCAGTGCTAAGGAAATTTAGATGCCTCGAATTAATGGCAGTCAATGACTAGCATTTAAGTTTGACTTCAACTTAGTCTATGACCAGTCATGGTATCATTTATTCATAAATCATCTATAGTTAAGTTCTTGTGTATTCTACATAGGCATATCATCCTAGTCCTTTCTCATGTCTGAACTATATAAATGATATCCATATCTTTATAGGCTTTGCCAGTTTGCTGTCTACACCATCTTACTCTTTGGTAATGATGTATTTTCATATTTCTGAGATGCTTATGTTTGCCATATCTTTCTATAGAAATCTTTACTTGAAACTAAGGAGACTGTTGAAAGGCATCGTAAATCACTTAAGAAAAGACAATCTGGTGAGTATTTTTTATTTCTGAAGCAATGTTTTTGAGGCGTTGTGGCAAGGCCCCTACCCCCTTCACAACGCCTAGGCGTTTGTGGCGGACGCCTAGGTGACGCCATATCCACATTTTAGGCGCCCTGAAGGCGTTGTGTAAACTGGATTTGTAGATACTAGTGCAGCACATACATACCTTGTTTCTTCCTAATGCTTAAGACCAGCACATACTAGTACAGCTAAGGGAGTACTACTAATCAGTAAGTATATTATACTAATCAAAGGAAAATTTCTACTTTGTGTTCTGTAAAAGTGTACAGATTAAAGAAAGAACCCAAACAGATATTATACTAATCAAAGAAAGATCTTGTGCTTTGCGTTATGTAATGCTCAAAGAAAATAACAACCCAAGCACAAGCAAGCAAACTCCGTTCGTGAGTAGTACTCCGTATGTGGCAGGCCAATTATAAAATATAAAAAGCAGCACACAGTATTGAAAGCAGAATACTCGCACCAGTCCGTCAATGAGCAAAGGCAGAGCAAACAAACATGAAAAGCGGCAGACAGATGGGAGATTTGGTGAGCCAAAACACGAGGGGTGGCAGGGGACAGAGTTGAAGCGGATGGACACGGGCGGACGGCCGATGGAGGCGGAGACTCGAGGCGGACGAGCAGGTGCGGACTTCGAAGACTCGAGGCGGACGAGCAGACTGCAGACTGCCGCTCCACAGCAGGTGCGGAGGCCAAGCGGAGATGCAAGGCCGGCTCCGCGGCAGGGGCGGCCAGCCGGTGGACGAACAGAGGAGCAGCCAAGCGGCCGCCTGTCGCCTTCTCTCTTCCTGCCGCCTTCTCTCTTCCTCTCCCCTCGCCCTCACTCGCGGCCGCCGGTAAAGGCCTCGTGCGGTAAATTTCCCGCGCGAAGGGCCTATCTACTTCCCGCGCCCTCACAGTTCCCGCGCGGTCGATTTCCCACGGGACCGCGGTCTTTTGGCGCCCTTCCCCCGCGAACTGGCATCCGGCATCCGCGGCGGGGCTGTAGGCGTCCGCCCTGTAGGCGTCCGCCCGACACCAATCTACTCCTAGGCGACGCCTAACTTGATTAGGCGGACGCCATACCAGTGCAGGTCGTGGCGCCGCCGACGCCCAGGCCCTCTACCACGCCTCGTCGCCTAGGCGACGACTAGGCGACGCCTCAAAAACAATGTTCTGAAGTACATTTTTCCTTTATTGCTTGTGTTGACTTGAATCCTTATAAGCTTTAATATCTTGCATATGTTTTGCAGTTGCACACATCAATGCATGTCAATATTGTTTCATGAAAAGCATTTGCAATAAAATTTAAGTTGATGTAGATTTTTTCTTATGACATTCCTGTTTGTTCTTTTTATACAAAACAAACCTTCCTCCATTATTGCAATCACAATATAAAAGTCATAGCAGCTTAACAAAATGAAAAAAGTGTGCACTAGCTAAATTGTATATTTTGCTGGCAATATATTTCCTACATTCCTTCTTTTTGTCGTTCATTTTTTAAAGATCTCTTTCTGTTTAGACAAGGGTGATGGCAGTGATGCTGAGACTAGCATGTCTGAGGAGGACATCCTCTTACAGGACGAAATATGTAAATCTCGTCTAACCAGTATCAAACGGGTAATTTTCTTTATGGTGTCATGGTTACTTGCCTAATTGGTACACCTTCTTAATCTGCTTTCTATGATTGTATTTCAGGAGGAAGAACAGTATATGAGAGAGAGAGATCGGTATGAGTTGGAAAAGGGGAGGCTTATACGAGAGATGAAGCGTCTCAGAGATGAAGATGGCTCACGCTTTAACAACTTCCAAATTCTTCACCATCGTTATGCTCTGTTAAATCTTCTAGGAAAGGGAGGGTTCAGTGAGGTTTACAAGGTATACTCTTGCTTTACGTATAATCTTGAAAACTAAATCGGAGGCATTAAATTTAGTCATACTAGGCCTATATGGCTAATATAAAAATAGTATGGCTAATATAAAAATAGTCATTCTTTGCTTATAGATAAAAAAAAGGGTGTACCGAGTGCAGAGAGCTCCCACTCTGTGTGGGGTCTGGGGAAGGGTGTCAGTGGCAAGCCTTTTTGCTTATAGATAAGAAATACCAAATTTTGCAGCTATTTAGTTACATGTGGGCCCCTATTGAACACTTGCTTAAAGAGGGTGGGTGTTACTTTAAGGCCCATCATTCTGTAGAAAATGTACTGCTGTAGTGTACCATCCCAAACTATCTTGATGGTTATATTCATGTTGGAACATTTGACTAGCTATTTGAGATATTTTCTTTTTCATGAAGTCAGTCTAATGTGTAGTGATGTCTTCATAGAAATTTGGCTTGATAGTACCAGCAGTTACATGCGACAATTTCTTTTGGGCAGGCTTTTGATTTGGTGGAGTACAAGTATGTGGCATGCAAGCTTCATGGATTGAATGCTCAATGGAGTGAGGAGAAAAAACAGAGCTACATACGTCATGCGATTCGTGAATATAACATTCACAAAACTTTGGTGCATCCAAACATTGTCAGGCTATGGGATATATTTGAGATTGATCACAATACATTCTGCACTGTCCTAGAATATTGCAGTGGTATTATATGTTTTTATGACCTTCGAAATCCTGATCGATATGACAACATAACAGTCTTTTATTTGTTCGCTGTTCCTGATACCTGTCTGCGGAGGACTTCATTCTGTAGTCATGCTAACATAAACTCATAATTCAGAAGTGTTAGATAGATACTGTCTTACTGAACTTTAGGCATATATTGTTATTGGCCACATGCATTCATGTTTATAGTTATTGGATGAATTTGTTCCATTTTGCCAGTCAAAAATTGAGGTGGTTCTTGGAGAGGTAATAGTTGCTGACCCATATAAAAATGAAGTGAATGAATAAACTGACCCATACAATTATTTCTCCCACATTTCCCCATTGGTCAGACTAGGATAGGTTGCCAATGGGAAAAAAGGCAGGGGCAACATGCTGTTGACTGGGGTTTGTATCCCATCCTCTGTCTTGACAATGACAGACAAGTTGACAAAATAAATAAATAAGTAAGACTCATGCGCCATAAACTCTACTGTATTTTTCTAGCAATTCTGTGTTTGATACTTCTATTTTGAGCCACAACATTCAGCAGCCACTGCCAACACTAATAACTACATGGATATGTTTTCTCACTGAAAACAAAAAGTTCCTTCCAATGCTCGCTATCTTCTTAATCAACATCAATTCCATTTTACATGTATTTTGATCAGTTCTGTCAAGCTTTTCTTTTACAATGTTGTAGTCTTTAATGATGGTTTTCCTTCCTAAATCTGTAACCCTCAGATCAGGAGATGTAATAATGTTCTCTTCATTGCTATTGTTTCAACCAGGCAAGGATCTTGATGCAGTCCTTAAAGCTACACCAATTCTTCCAGAAAAAGAAGCAAGAATCATAATTGTTCAAATATTTCAGGGCCTGGTTTATCTAAACAAGAGGGGCCAAAAGATCATTCACTACGATCTAAAACCTGGCAATGTTCTCTTTGATGAGGTTGGTGTTGCAAAAGTTACAGACTTTGGCCTCAGCAAGATTGTGGAGGATGATGTTGGGTCTCAGGGAATGGAACTCACTTCTCAGGGAGCTGGAACCTATTGGTGAGTGTGATCCTTCCAGTTGATCTTTTGCACTAGCTCACAGAAACCTTCAAGCTACCTGCTGTTATGGAATTTTTTAATTATTTGCATTTTTTGCTATATTCCTGGTGCAATACATGCTATTTCTAAAAGAGTTGCAGCGTTCAAGTATCAATCTAAAAACTTCGAAAGGAATTACCTTTTGTTTTCATTGAGTAGTCGCATTACTAACAGGACATTTTCTTCTTTCCTATAATGCCTTACTTGAACAAGCGGGATACATTTAGTTTTTATTTATGGCAGGACATCATTGTTTTCCTTTTTATGGCCATTGTTCCTTTAGAATGGCAGGCATGTCTCGCTTCAATTCTTTTCTGTTCTTTTTCAGGTATCTTCCTCCAGAATGCTTTGACCTCAGCAAAACACCATTTATTTCATCTAAGGTAATTATATCTGGCAACTGTTCTGCCTGTTAATGTGCTAACTGGTGAAAATATATTATGGTTCTTGTGATTTTGTGTTTTTTTCTAAATTATTCTACTCAACCAATAGCATAATATATTCAAGTGCCAAAGATAATAGAAGGTCTCCTCACTTTAGCAAGTAGTTTTGGGATGTTTCAATTGTGAGGAGGTATCATGAGGTGGTTTGGTTGTATGCAACTTTTACATAAAAAAACACATATATCATCTCTAGATCACCTCATTTATGTAGGCCTGGGCTCATTTATGTGCCTCCTGAACTCAATCCACTTTCCACAATAACATTTTTGAAATTTGAACTTCATCCTGATTAGCAATGGCGCATTAGCTTTTCCATTCGTTTTCATGCAGGTGGATGTTTGGTCAGCTGGTGTAATGTTTTACCAGATGCTCTTTGGAAGGCGTCCTTTTGGTCATGATCAGACTCAGGAGAGAATACTTCGGGAAGATACAATTATCAATGCACGGAGAGTGGAGTTCCCTTCAAAGCCAGCTGTATCGAATGAGGCAAAGGTCTGTTTCCATTTTTTTCACATGGTGTAAATAGTTGCATACCCATCACATGTATCCCATCAATGCAAGATACTATACTTGCATTGGTGAGACCTACAGTTTACTGCTTTGTTTAATTTGGCATGTTCATTCTGTCCTCAGCTTGCCCTGAGAATTTGCTGATGTTGGTTAGTTTGGCAAAAGTGTGATCTCACCTCACCGCAAATAAAAACATTTAGCTGTACTGTAGTCAGTGCCAAGTCTCCATGTCGTTTTCATTCTAGAATTGTTTCAGTCATCTGTGAGCCAGTTTGATTCTTTTCCTTTTCCATTGTCCCTGAACATTCACAGGATCTGATACGCCGGTGTTTGACATACAACCAATCAGAGAGGCCAGATGTACTAACCATAGCTCAAGATCCTTATCTCTCATATGCAAAGAAGTAGCCACTACTCCGGATAACATTTTGGCGAGCGAGGGTACCTGCTCACTTATATGTATGGGGATGGATAATGTTAGAACAGAACCAAAACAAAGGTTTGGGGCTGAATTTCATATTTCATTAGCCATGACACAACTATGGCAGGTTGGGGATACATATAGGATAGCTTGCATGAGCCTTAAGAAAACTACAACATATTCTAGAGATGCTAAAGTAGATGCTAGGGATAAAGATAAGGGCTGACACAGCCACCAACTACTCTAGATAAGTATCCTAAGTAGATAAGGACAAGACTTATAGCTGTCATTCTCCCCCTAAGTCTTGTGTGGCGTCTTCTGGGGAATTTGAACCATCCCAATCCTGGCGCGAAGCTCCTAGAACTTGACCTGCCCAAGGGACTTGGTGAGAAGATCGACGAGCTGATCCTGGGTGTTGATGTAGCCGGCCTTGATGCTCCCCTCATCCAAATAGCTCCTGATGATGTGGTACTCGATGCAGATATGCTTGCTGCGCTCATGGAAGACGGGGTTCTTCGCCAAAGCCAAGGCGGACTTGCTGTCCACCCTAAGCTCCACCGTAAGCCACCCCCGCCTGGAGATCACCTAGCGCCAACCGAGAGCCCCGCCTTGTGGAGATCACCTAGCATCGGACAGAGCCAACTTGTTTGCTTGAGCCACCGAGACACTTGAGTCGAATAGCGGGTTGCCGGCAGTCGATGTCGCCGCCTTCCGATGAAGTGCTCCGCACAGAGCCACCACTTGTGCTTTCGCTTGGAGGATCTCTTGACCGATTTGCCGGTGATTAGACACTTTGACGAGGAAGAATAGTGTCCGGCCGTTGGGACGAGCTCTTGCTTGTGTCGCCGCCCGTCGATCGTCGCCGTGCTCGCGGTCGCTCTCCTCCATGGGAGTATGCCAGTGAACCCGCCAACTCGACACCTCGGGTAGTGAAAGCCGTGGTTGAAGTGCTACAACAACAATTAACCAAATGGTTAGACAATTATGAGGCGACGAGTGGAGGATCCTCTTGAGCAATGACACTACCCTATGTTAGTGTGCTCTCAAAGGCTAACTAAAGAGCCACACCAACCAAGCATGCAAGCTCTCACAACTAGCTACACGAGCTTGTCAACTAGTTTGCGGTAAAGAAGAGAGTGATCAAGAGGGTTATACCGCGACGTAGATGAATGAACCAATCAATCACGAAGATGAATAACAATGATGACCAATCACCTCGGAATCAATGATGAACACAATGATTTTTACGAGGTTCACTTGTGCCGGGCTAGTCCTCGCTGCGATTCACTCACTTGGAGGTTCACGCCCGATTGGCATCACTCGCCACCAACCCTCAATAGGGTGCCGCATCGACCTCACTGAGGATCACACAAGCCACAAGCAATTTACTAGAGTACCTTTTGGCGATCCGCGGCTCAAGAACCCCTCACAATCACCACGATCGAGCTCTCTCACCTCCTCCATGGGAGTTGTGTGTCTGGTGGCGGCAACCACCAAAAGTAACAAGCGAAATCCGCAGCGAAACACAATCACCAAGTGCCTCTAACAATCACTCGACAATGCGCTTGGATTCACTCCCAATCTCACTATGATGATGAATCAATGATGTAGATGAGGGAGGGCTTTGATAAGCTCATAAGGTTGTTATGTCAATGAAAATGGAGATCTGAGATGGGGCTATAAATGAGCCCCAGGACCTCAATCCCAACGCGGGTGAGAAGGAGAGAGAAGGCCACGTGATTCACGCCACGGTCCCCCCGCTTCAAATGTCGCTCATCCGGAAGGTCGCCTTCATCTCCTCCTTGAATGACTCCACCTCGGCCTCCTTGGTGCCGGTGATCACCAAATCGTCGACGCGACCGACGCAGCGCCTACCACTAGACCGACGCCAAGATCATTGCCTCCATTTCAACTCTTACCCCCTTGCTTAAGTGTGCCACCACTAAGAATTTTGTCCCACGCAATAGAAAATAGACATTTCATTTTCGCCTCGTGAGGACTTTGTTTGGAACCCCATTTGCTTGAGAGTGGAGTCCACTTGGCGTTCAAGCTCGGGTTAGTCTAGTGGCACTTTGATAGTCGTATTCCGGGAGTTTCACCTCTTAATAGTATGCGGCTATCAAACATAAATGTGATCACACTCTCTAAGTGCGAAGAACCTTGTTCTCCTTGCCTTGATGACGAATTCTCTTTCTTCTCTTCAAGTTTAAGCGTTGAGACCTCCTCCTTCACCATCGCCATGTTAGGAAGGCGGACTTGAAGTCTATGTGGTGCACTTGATGCCAACCCTCTGGGCCATCAATTTACCAAAACCAAACTAGAGCTTTCAGGAGATGCGGACGGACTCCATCCGCGCCCAATGGGCGTGAAGGCGTCGTCGAAGTCGACTCCTCTCTCCACCTACGGCCTCCTGAGGACTTTCTTTGGAGCGAACCCGCGTGCCACCAGGGCGTGCCTTGTGCTTGATCACCGCCGCCGTGGCCTCATCCTTCTTGAGCTTGTAGACCCACTTAAGGGTGATGGCGCGGTGGTCCGAGCACGGGAGAAGATCCGCCTCATCCTCCCACGTTCGGTTCTGCTCGACCGCGTCCATCTCCTGCTGCATCGCGGCACGCCATGCCGCGTCCCCCTCCGCCTCAACAAAGGAGTGGGGCTCGCCGTCCTCGTGCGCCAGGTGCAGCTCCGCCTCGAAGTCATGCACCGCCAATCTAGGAACGGGCTGATCACCGAAGATGTTGTCCAAGGTGTGGTAGCGCAGAGGCTCATCGTCGTGGTAGGCATCGACGCAATCCTCGCTCGTCGAGACGGTGGAGTGGCGAACTCCACCGTCTTGCGCCGCTTGTCACGGACCAAAGTCATCTTGATGCCGATCTCGGAGGTGTGGGGCGCCCGATCACGAGAGATTGGGGAGCCGGGCCGTAGGAGCCGGGGTGTAGCCGGGTGTAGGTGGTATAGGTGGTGGACTTGCTGGTGGTGTAGGCGGTGGAGTACTCGCCGGAACTGATGGCGAGCCGGGTGCTAAGGTAGACGAGCTCGGTGAAGATGAGCTGCTAACTCACCCGACTCCCTCGAAGTGGACGTAGTCGACGACGAAGTCTCTGAGAGTCGAAGTCGAGCCGTCGTCCACCACCTTGTCCTAGGCCCAGCCTCGCCCTTCGTCGAACACGACGTCCCGGGAGATGCGGACGCGCTGTGTTGTAGGGTCGAGGATGCGGTAGGCCTTGACGCCCTCCGCGTAGCCGATGAAGACCCCTGGCGTGCTTGTCGACGTGGTTGAGCTCCTTGGCGAAGGCGAGACAGCCGAAGACGCAGAGGTGGCTCACCACCGGCTTATGCCCGTGCCAGGCCTCGTACGATGTTTTGCCTTCAAGGGCCTTGGTGGGAGAGCGGTTGAGGAGATGGACGGCAGTCATCACCGCCTCCCCCCAATAGATTGCCGGCATCCCTCTCTACTTGAGGAGGGCACGGGCGGTGGCCATCACCGTCTGGTTGCGGCGCTCAACGACGCCGTTCTGCTGCGGGGTGTACGGCGCGGAGAAGTGGCGCTGGATCTCCTCGTTGGCGCAGTACGCCGCAAACTCAGCCGCCGTTGTCGGTGCGTAGCACCCGAAACTTGCGGCCGCACTCCTCCGCAGCAGCTTGATGGCGCTTGATGGCGTCCGCAGCCGCCGCCTTGGTGTCGAGCAGGACCACCCATATGTAGCGAGACACGTCGTCAACGAGGAGCAGGAAGAAGCGCCGGCCTCCAGGTGTGGCCAGTGTCATGGGGCCGCAGAGGTCACCGTGCACGAGCTCCAGCTTCTCCTTGGCGCGGAAGCTCGCCTGGCGAGGAAAGGGGAGTCGCCGCCGCTTGGTGAGGACACAGGTATCGTAGAACTGCTCCACGTGCTCGACTCGCGGCATGCCCTGCACCATCTCCTTGTTGCCGAGCTGCTTCAGGGCCTCGAAGTTGAGGTGCCCAAAGCGCTCGTGCCACCGCCAGGAGTCGTCGTCACGGCGGGCTGCAAGACACACAGGCTGCGCCACTTGCACGTGGAGGACATAAAGGCGGTTGGGGCCTTTGTTCACCTTGACGAGAAGGCGACGATGGCGATCCCAGATACGCAAGACCCCGTGCTCGATCTCCACGCGCGAGCCGTTCTCATCCAGCTGTCCCAGGCTGATGATAGAGTTCCTCAGCGCGGGGATGTAGTAGACACCGGTGAGCAATTGGTGCTCGCTGGTCATGGCGGTGAAGACAACGGAGCCGACGCCCTTGATCTCCACGGCGGAGGCGTCCCCGAATTTGACGGAGCCTCAAACGTCGGAGTCGAGCTCGGAGAAGAACTCCTGCCGCCCGGTCATGTGGTGGGTGGCGCCGGTGTCGAGGTACCACCCGTCGATCTTGTCACCGCCAGACCCGTTGCCGAGGAAGAAGTGAGCCCGCGGCTCGTCGAGGTGGAGGAGCGCGGCGACGGTCGGCGCGGGAGAGGAGTGCGGCTTGATGCTCCCGTGTATGAAGAACAGAGTCGGCTCGTCACCCTCCTGCGCTTGCGCGACATGTGCCTGACCGCCGTGCTTCGCCTGCCGGTAGTCCTTGGCCCAGTGGCCGGTCCTCCCGCAATTGTTGCAGGTGTCGTCGCGGGTAGCCTTGCGCTCGCCGTCGGTGCCGCCAGGAGCGCCACCACGCGCCTTATCTCGCTTGCGTGGCCGACGCTTGCGGCTGCTCGACGAACCCGAAGCTGAAGAACCCGAGGCCTCTCCTTTCTTTCGCTCCCGCTGGCGGGTAAGCCACTGCTCCTCGATGAAGAGAAGCTTGCCACCGATGGTGACCGGCTCTGAGGGAGGTAGCTGCTCGCGGTTGTCGACGGCCTTGAGGCGACGCATCACCTCGATCGACAGCTCGGAGAAGTCCAACAACATCTCGATCGCGATGGCGACCTGCGAGTACTTCTTGGGGACGACACGGAGGAACTTCTCGCAGCTCTCTCCTCGTCGATGTTGTTGTCACCGTACCGCGCCAACTACTGCATCAGGGTGTTGAGGCAAAGCGAAGTCGTCGATGTCCTCACCCGGCTTGAAAGCCAGGTTCTCCCACTCCTGACGCAGCTTCTGTAGCGTGGACCTACGGGCGCGGGCGTTGTCGATGCGTGCCGCAGCGATGGCGTCCCAGGCGTCCTTGGCGGTCCGCTTGTTCGCGAGGGAGGAGTGCATCTTCGTCGGAACAACAACAAGAAGCGCCTCCGGTGCCCGTCGATCCTCGTCAAAGTCGGCGTCGCCATACCGTACCGCATCCCACATGCGTCGCGCCTGCATCTTCACCTTCATCACCATGGACCACTCAACGTAGTTGGTCTTGGTGAGCATGGGCCATCCGCCACGGCGGCGTCGACGACGGCGGACGAGTGCGCGACGGCAGGGGAGCCGGGCCGTACGCCGCCCGACCACCACGCCCGGTCCGGGGAAGGGGAGGCGCGCTGCCTGTGAGGGCTCCGTGTGCCAGCGTCCCGTCCGCCCAGGTCCCATGCCTCGCGCCGCTCCTCCCGCTCCAGCCAGGCGTTGGCGTCGCGTGCCGCCCGCTCGTCCCGGTCGAAGTCGCGGCATCGTCTGTTGAAGCGGCCCGCGTCGCGTCCGCGTCGGTTGTCGAAGCCGTCCGCCCAGGCCACCCGCGTTGGGCTAGGCTCATGTCTACCGCGTCCGCCCAGGCCACCCGCGTCGGGCCAGGCCCGCTCGACGTCCGCTCCACGGCGCAGAGCCGCAGCCGCCGCCGCTCCTGCATCCGACGTGCCCGCCCGGGCACCGTAGTCCTCTTTCGCCGTGTCCGCCTCAAGACGCGACGCGCCTGCCGCCGCTGCCTTCTTGCCTCCGCGCGCCTCCGCTTCTTTGCACAGTGGGTGGCCAGACGCCGCTGCGCAGCAAGAAAGCTCACTTTGAAGCGATCACGAGCCGCTTGTTCTCATTGCTGCTTCTCAGCCGCTCGCCGCTCCTCCTCCTCGCTGGTCACTTACAAATAACTGCAAAGACGTATGCTAGAGGTGGTGGAACGGTTGGAGGAAGAGGATACGGCGAGAGACATGGCGACGGATTGGGATGGGGTAAGGGCAAAACCCAGATGAACTTAGGCTCTTGATACCATTTGTTAGAACAGAACCAAAACATAGGTTTGGGCTGAATTTTAGATTTCATTAGCCATGCCACAACTATGGCAGGTTGGGGATACATATAGGATAGCTTGCTTGAGCCTTAAGAAAGCTACAACATATTCTAGAGATGCTAAAGTAGATGCTTGGGATAAAGATAATGGCTGACACCAACTACCCTACATAAGTATCCTAAGTAGATAAGGACAAGACTTATAACTGTCAGATAATCTCGTGAAGGATCAAAGTGTTCCACTAGCTCAAGAAGACCACAAAGGGTGTAACTGTATATGTTGTAAATTTTAGTCTGCCCTGTTACAGCAATGACCTGAAATCCAGCAGGCATCAGTTCAAAGGCCAGCTTCTTTGTAACGTAGAGAAAGCAGGCATTGGTTTGAACGGGCCATTTACTCTTTTTTGAAATCTCCTTGACTCGCTTGTGCCATGCACCCAATGCGTAACGTGATGGTTTCTTGGCTGGTGGGCACTGGGCAGTGGTCCTGTTGATGGTTAGTTTTTGTTTGCTCATACTGTCACGGTCTCCTCGTATTGCACAGGCGAAAGGCTTGCCACTAACACCCTTCACCAGACCCCGCACAAAGCGGGAGTTCTCTGCACTAGGTACGCCATTTTTATACTGTCAAGAGAGTGTAAGGTCTGCCAAATCAGGAACCTTGAGTGACAAGAGAGTGCTCACATGCTCGCCTCAAAAAAATCTCGACCTGCTGCACGACGTGATACTGATACCTGGCCGGGTGGTGTATTGCCGGAACAGATCAAGATAGCATACAGGTTACTTTGGATAACCTGTAGACCCACCACAGCCACAGCTCAGTCTGAGAATTTCTGTTTTCTGCTGGTGCCAATTTGTTCTAGAGCGCTGCCACAGTCACTGGGCAAGTACTACACAAGTTTTGTGCTCCCAGCTCATGTATTTTACTGTTTTTGGCTTTGTATTTTTAGCCTTAAAATGTTCAGGCGTCTCATGTAAGGCACCGGAATTTTGTGTACACTTTTATACTTTTGCGCCAATCTGATTATTACCTGATCAGCTCATGTCTCTGGCACTTGAAATTTGTAGACTTTTGCGCCAATCTGATTTTTACTTGATTATGAGCCACCGAAGTGAAACGGTCCTCGAGAGAGTTGAGCAAAATCAAAGCTTGATTATCATATAAGAATGAGATGGCTCATCTTGTGGATGCTACTCCACAGTGAGAACTGAGCATAGCACCAAAATTAATCGACACAAACGAAGGAAACAAGAACTCCCAGTTCATGTCCCCCCGCCAGAGCACTGTTTAATTCAATTTCCTATCTCTACCACCCATCCATCACCTGCTCCGCCTTCTTCTAGTACCCCTTGCCCTGTGTGGTGAGCCCGAACCCGAGCGGGAACAGCGGGTCGTAGTGCGCGTCGCCGTAGTTCATCGGCAGCTGGTCCACCGACTTGAACCACGTCCGCGGCAGCTTCCCTGTGAATCCGTAGTCCCCGAACAGCACGTCGGTGATGCCCTGGCCTTCGGTTCCCGGCAGCCAGGCCGCCACGAGCGCGTCCATGGCGCCCAGGAACGGCTGTATCACCACGGGGCGGCCGCTGATGAGCACGGTCGCGCACCGCACGGCGCCGCACACAGTCTGGACGGTGCTCGGCCCGGGGTCCGGGATCGTCAGGTTCATGCTGTCGCCCTTGGTCTCCGTGTACGGGTGCTCGCCCACGGCCACGATGGCGTACGAGAAGCCGCCGTTCTTGACGAAGTCGGCGTCTGGGTTCTCCGCGAACACCACCGTCGTCGACGGGTCCACGGCCGCCTTCACGGCGTCCAGGATCGTGGTGCCGACGGTGATGCGGCCCGTGTCGCCCTGCCACTCGATCGTCCACCCGCCGCACTGGTACCCCAGGTTGTCGGCGTGGCTCCCGGCGACCAGGATCTTGGCGGCCTTCTTGGGCAGGGGCAGCAGCGGCGCGTCGCCCGGCTTGCCGTTCTTGAGGAGCACCAGCGACTTCCTCACCGCCACCCGCGCCACGTCCCTGTGCTCCTGCTTCCCCAGCTGATCGGTGAGGCTAGGATCGGGCATGGGGTTCTCGAACAGGCCCATGGTGAACTTGACGCGCAGAATCCTCGTCACAGCGTCGTCGATCCTGCTCATCGGGATCAGGCCGCTGTTGACGTGACCGGTCAGGATGGTGATGAAGTTTTGGTAGTTGTTGGGCACCATGATCTGAAGCACACCACAACAGTTCGTTGATCAGCATCATCATCATCTCTTTAGGCGATGCCAGAGCCTGACGTTAATGGAATCGAGGATTTTGATTCAAAAAAAGAATTGCCCATAGCCTGACCATGTCAATGCTCGTTTTGCTTACCATGTCAATGCCAGCAAGAATTGAAGCCTGCACAGAGTAGGAGTAGTTCGCCCCTGGAGGGCTGGTGATCCTGTCAATGCCCTCCCAATCTGAGATCGTAAAGCCCTGTAGAAAAAATACAGGCAGAATCTGAGCACCTAAAGGCAGCAAATCCCAACGGATTAACAACACCTGAAGACTGTAAGCGTCTGTTGTTCTCACCGTGAAGTTGAGCCTGCCCTTGAGGTAGTCTGTGATGAGGCCGTGGTTGGCGTGCATCTTGAGCCCGTTCCAGCTGGAGTAGGAGATCATGACCGTGGAGACGCCCTTCTCGAGAGCGTCCAGGTAGGCCGGCATGTGGATGTTCATCAGCCCCTCACGGTTGATGATGGTGTTGTTCTCGTTGATGCCGTTCTGGGTTCCACCGTCGCCGACGAAGTGCTTGGCGCACGCCGCCACCTTGTTCCTGCGACAATTTTTGCAACAGCCATTCAGAACACATGGACGGCAGCTTTACATTGATAATAGTCGAATCTGTTGGGGATCTTTTTACTCACTTTCCGGAGACGTAGGGCTTGCCGCTGGTGAAGTTCTGCGGGACGTCGCCCTGCAGGCCCGGGATGAGCTCAGTCATGGACTGCACGATACGGTGGTCCTCGCTGTAGCTCTCGTAGCACCGGCCCCACCTCGGATCACGGCACACCTGCGCACCAACAGGCAACAGCAACATCGATCAGCAATTCAGCACCACTGAAGCCAAAGCCAAACTGACTATATAGTAGGAAAGGAGCTGGCATTGTCAAGGATTCAGGATGCTTACAGCAATGCATGGCGCAAAAGCGTACTGGATGCCGGTGGCTCTCACTTCAAGCGCGGTCGCGGCGCCGATCCTCTTCACCAGATTAGGATCCCTGCACGGTGCAATCCAAAGGAACACGAGGATGAGTCAACCATAGCAGGCTACACAAGTTAGCACTGGCGACGCGAGCTGGAGAATGTGCTTGCCTGGTGGCTCCGAGCCCGACGTTGTGGGGGAAGATGGTGGCGCCGTACACGTTGTTGTGGCCGTGGACGGCGTCGATGCCGTAGATCATCGGGATGCCGAGGCGCGTGGACAGGCACGCCTTCTGGAAGTCGCTGATCATGGCCACCCACTCCGCCGCCGTCGCCTGCTTCCGCGGCACGCTCCCGCCGCCGCTGAGCAGGCTGCCGATGTAGTAGTCCTTGAGCACCTGCGGCGACGCGACGAGCCGCTCGATCTGCGTCATCTGGCCGATCTTCTCGGCCAGCGTCATCCGGGCGAGCAGGTCCCTGACGCGGACCTCCACGTCGTTCTTGGGGTCCTTGTACGGCGGCACGCCCTGGGCGTCACCGTACGCCGCGGACCAGAAGAGGAGCAGCAGCGCGGCCACTACCGGCGCCGTGAGCAGCGCCATCCTGTGGCGGCGAAGGAGCGGGACGAGGCGCCTCCGGACCTGCGCGTCGTAGCATTGCAGCGACAATATCAGAATCTCTGTGAAATGCTCCTCCAGGGGCTCGAGGACGCCCGACCTGAAGCGGCCGGCGAGCTCGCCGCCCATGGCCGGTCGCAGTCAACGGCGGCAAGAGACGGGGACGACGAGATGCAGGGATCCAAGAAACCATTTATGGTTTGCACTAACGAGACTACTACGACCGGCTTCACTCGTTGGCCGTGCCATGTGTTAGTGGTGCTTGCAAATGGAGTATGATTTATGATCGAGTAATTAAGATTTAACAAGTAGGCTGTCAGATCAAGGTGTCCTTTTTATTGCTGAAAGCAAAAGCACCTCTGTGCACCCGTTGAGTAAACAATAGCATGGGCCTTGATGCTAACATTAGTTTTAACTAGTGTTTTGCTGACAGAGTAGCATGCTTTTAATAAACATAAAAGGGATTAATGTGAACATGCTCCAGACTAGATATTCTTGCAGCAGTCTCTGTAAATTCATAGCACTACAGTACAGCTGAAAAGAGCAGGAGTTCGGGCAGGTTAAAACTAAAAGTGAGACCAAAATATCAAAACGATTTTCTTGTGTACTCCGTATGGTCTAAAAAAAACTCGTGCGTATATTAGTAAAACCAAGAACAGGAAATTAGCTGCCAATGAATGAAAAACCAGCAAGCTAATATCGATCGATTTGCTTGCAAAGTACTACTACTCCAAAGCAGGGAGAAAGTTCGTCGGAAGAAGGAGGGAGATGCGGCCATGAGAGCGAACCAATGAATCACGAGAAGCAGAGGAGGAGCTGGACTGATGGAGCCTTGCTGTGCCACAAATGCGTGAGCCCGGCAAGGACGAACAGGAGGCTGCTGGCTTGGGCTATATGAATGAAGCAAGTACAAGCACGAAGCTCCGGCGCTCTTCAGAGAAGCTGCGGCGGCACTGCTCGTATGAAGCTATGAAGGGAAAGGTGAGACGCCGAAAATTCAATGTGTTTGTTGCAACGGATTGGAATCCCTCTCTCGCACACAAAGGTCCAACACGCGTGAACGGACGGCCCCCTCCGAGTGTAGAGTGTGCCCGGACACGCGCTACATGCCATGAGCAAGAGGACACACCAGGTCACCAGCGCAGGGCATGCACGCGTGTGTTCGTGCAGTTACGTAACTACCAGTGCAGTGCTGGATTGCTATTGCTACATAGTACAAGTGTGTTTGATTCAGCAAGAAACCGCCCATGTCTTACCAGAAAGGTAGAGCAGCAGATGGGAAGAAGAGGAGGAGGGGGAGGCGAGCATCCTGGCTTGTGCTCCCGGCGAGTGTGCATATAAAGGAGCAGAGCAGCAACCGGAAAGCAGGTATGGCGGATAAGGGATGAGGAGTGGTTGGAGCAGGGACCGCGTCCGCCATTGGCACCTTCAAAGCGTGTCAATCCCTCTCCCGGCCCCGGCGGGAAAATATCCTTTTTCCTCCGTGACGATCCGTTCGTCGTCCCCAATTGTTGCCTTCTGGCGCGGCGAAAGCAACCCCCGTCGGTGACGGAATCTGGCCTGTTCCCCTCCCGGCGGCGAGAATTACGGTTTACTGCTGGATTACTACTTACAACTACTGCCGCGGTTAGTGTGCAAGCAAGTGGTGGTTTTAGGCAGAAGACGATAAGGACGAGGACGGCGAGAGCCGCCGGGTGTTAGTGTCAGCAAGAAAACAAAACCCGTGTGAACAAGCGCAGAATGAAAGAATGCAACAAGTCCTCTGTTTCTTTTCTTTTCTCTTTGCCAAGTTGGGGACTCACTCGGGCGAGCAGTTTCATCCCGACCCCCATGTGAGCGGCCGAGGATACCGTGTGGACGCTCGGGATCGCAGAGCGGCGAGGCAGAGCAGCGCCGGCGGTCGTGGAAAGATTGAGCAATGCCGCGAAAGGGGAAAACCCAGAGGCTCGAGGAAGAAGAGGATGGCTAGATGATGCATGTCTGCGCGAGATTTATACATATTTATAAAGAAGAGCAAGGACGGGACTGCTATTACTTACGGGATGAGTCTAGGTATAGGTAAGTCGTCTCGCTCAAGGCAAGAACGAATCCGCACGGTGATGGGCGCGGGCTGAGGTGGGTGGCCGGTGCGGCTGCAGCAGAGCAGGGGACCCCGTCGATCGAAAGCGACGCCGTCCCCGTCCCGTCGCAGATCAGCAGCGACCCGCAATCCGCCGCACGGTTCCTTGACGGCAGCACACACTCCTCTGCCCTCTCTCTCTCTCTCTCTCTCTCTCTAATCTAATCAAGCCCTATCCTGCAGTGCCAACTGCCAAGCTTATCCTCTCCCTCCGCCACCGTCTCCGGCCTCCAACTTGTCAGCGAGTTATTCCACCAAGTGGAGGAGTGCGCGCAGAAGCAACGCCGGCTGATTAAGCAAGCCGAGCAAGCAACAATGGCGGACACTGGACCGAGGAAGTCGGAGCGGAGGGGAGTGCAGTGCGAGGTTGCGCAATGGCGGAAGCAATGGTTTTATAGCGGTAGACGAAGGGATCGAGGAAACGGGCGGGCTCGGGGACGCGCGGCAACGGACAAGGGGAAGCAGAGCAGAGGATGCGCCAGGGCGTCTCGTTGATTGAATAGCAATAAACCCCAACGTTCGAATCGGGGGACGCGTCCCGCCGCCCGTGGAGGAACCGACGGCTGGGATCCGTCCAGGGGTCCGACCGAGGCCCCGCGTGCCGTGGCCCGTGGGGTAGGCCGTAGGCGTTAGGTGGGGAACTGGGGATGGGAGGGCAACGTGAGCGCCATGTTGGGCTGCCTCTTTTCCTTTCCGTGGTCTGCGCCTCTGGCTTTTCGGCGAGGAAGCCAACGGTCAGTAGGGCGGGCAAATGCAATGCAAGACAGACGTTGCTAATCTTTTTTTAATAATTATAATTATTATTACAGCTTTGCTAATTTCAATGCTTCTCATGCCTTCTGTTCTCGTGCTGGATCTCGACATCTTTTTGTTTGTTTTGGGAGATGCGGTTGATCCGATTCTTCGTCTTGCGGATTTTGATATTTGAAACTTGGGAGCTATACCGTTTGAGTTTCGGATCTTGTTTGTCGTTTCCAATTCTCATTGCAAAATTGAATCTACAAGATGATGTTGCTTTAGCTACTGTTGGTTTTGGTCATGTCACTATATCAAGTCCTAGAATGATGCAGTGTTATGAAAGTTTAGTGTAGGTTTCTGAAAATGTCGCTACCTGTGAGAGTTTTAAAATCAAATGCACATCTATTCTCAAAATAAATTAAATACTCATGTTTGATATTTTCTTAACATGATGATGAAAAAGGTAACGAAGCATGAAGTGGGTATACATATAGCGAATTGGCATGCATGGAAACTCACGAGTCTTGTATGAAAGAAATGCAAATTAAGCTCATCTCATGCCAAAGAGACCAGAGGAAGGTCGAACCACACTCAAGAAGATGGCCCATTTGCAAATGTGCACCTTGTTCGTTTGGGCTTGTTTGGCTTATAAGGCCTGCTTTTTCAGCCAACGAATAATATTTTTCTCTCATACCAAATCAGCTAACAGTACTTTCAGCCATGGCTTATCAACCAAACAAGCCCAAGCGAACAGGGCGCGATGCGAGCATGCACACATCATCTCATCAATTTTCTCTTTAACATCGTCAATTTTATTACTGACAACTTGTTCCAACGGTTTATAACCCTAAACATAAATAGCTTGCGTTTGTTATTTACCGGTCGCCATCATCCGTGATCGCGTAGTCAATAGAGGTGAGGGTACAATGCAATTTTCAAATAGCCCTCTTTAATTACTAGCATGTCACCGTTAACGTTTCTTCTTACAGAAGGGGAAATTAATAATAATAACTTAAATGGTAAGGACAGTGAAGAAGCTATTAATGGGGATGCACGCAACAAATTGGACTATAGTGGAAGTACGTAGATTGAAAGGAGGATCTCATTTTCCCGTGGAGGGAACATTCATGATTGAATGATGCGATAAGGACGTGTGCCGCGTTTCATTGATTGCTTTAGATCTGTGCATTTATTATTTCCAATTCCAATTCAGACCAAGTTTAAGTGCGTGCTATCACGTTTGTAGAAAATGTGGCTGTTCCTCTGTCCAAAAATGTTGAAAGAATGTTCTTCGTCAAAAAAAAAAAGTTGTGTTTGCTAAAAAATATTTGCCCTAATGACATAGCACAACTCTTTCTTATTCTTTTTGCAAGAAACCACTCCATCCGTTCTTGAAATATAAGATTCAGAGTTCAAGATTTCTACCAAAATATAAGGTATTATGGGGGTTTAACTTTAACCCCTCTCCCCTATCTTTTTTGGTAGAAAATATTGATATTTCTTTCAATTTTGGTCTCAATCAAAACAGACAGCCAGTAAATAAGAAAAATAACAACTAAACTCCCATCACCGTAATTAGTGAGGGGCAAAGTAGTCTTTTCCCAACCTTTTTATTTTATCTAAAAATTGTCCGGGTATCATATTTCGAGACAAAGAGAGTAATACATAACACACAACCGCTCCCAATAAAGGATACATGTCTTTGGTGGCGGGTTGCACACAACTTTATTTCCTTTATTTTCTTTTTTGGTGAAACATAACACATGCGAGAGACTGGACTGGTAAAATGTAGATCTTGATTAAATAGACCAAACTACTACACCTAACCAAATATGTTTAGTGAATAGTACTTGTGTGAAGTATGGAACATTGGAACTTTTTCTTTTTATAAGCAGCATGCTCTTGAAGTCCAAAATACGCGTGTGCTGCTTAGGAAGTTAGTTTCGGTTTACGAATAGTGGTTTGAGTTTTTCATTGCAATGCAAGAATTACGATACTGAGAACCCGTTTGATATAGCTCCAACTCTGAGATATATGATAAATTTGTAGTTTGTAGACTAAATTAAAGTAGTTTAAATATTTATATTTGGTCTAAACTATAAATGATACGAGTCGAGTAAATGCACTT